TAAACTCTACAGGATAAACGTGAAGTAAAGGTTATTCTTTGCTCTGTTTTACACTGATCAGTTAAATGGTTTACTTCAATGACATTTATCGTCATTCTGGATTAAAATATCGATGTGTACTCAATTTGAATTAAAATATTCATTGATGAAATTCTTATTACTTTTCGTACATTTAACATTTTCATGGAGAATTTATATTTGTTGTGTTCATTTACGTTTTGGATAAACCTTTGCATTTATTATATTAATTTAACTTGTGTACAGAGAGATTCATTCATAAGTTTCATCATTCAGCCGGCTAAATCAGTTTCAGTCACTTGTCCAAGTAAAGTCGAATAGTTATGAAAATCACCTTTCAAATTGATGCTTATCACAAAATGAATGTTGTTAGATTCATGTTACTATTCTTTCTATTTGGTTTACCTTAAATAACTAACTGTTCAACTGCGATGATAAGAAACTTGAAATTTATTGATCATTTAACAGAATCTACTTTTTCTTATGGGTTGAAGTAACTGAATGAAAAACTACAGGATAAATGTTATAGTTTTTCTCAGAGGCAAACATAACACTGACACAAACAAGAAAACAACATCTTTCTTTTTTTAATTTTATTAGTTCTATGTGAAAATATCATTTTGTCATGATAAATGAGAAACAAGTAGTAACTTTTGCTTTTTTTTGTGTGTGTTTAGGTTAGGAAGAAAAATATTACATTTTCACTTGCTCTACAATTTATGTCTATAAATTGGCAGTTAAAAATTATCTGCATGAATCTATTTATATCTATATTTTAATAAAAGAATATGAAAAATAGTTAATTAATTTGTGTATGGTGAAATTGACTATTTTGTTGTGTGAACGGTTGACGTAAATACGAACGAAATTAAATATGCCTGTCATAAAGTCAAGAGAAAGGTAGTAAGAAATATTATTCATCATAAAATTATCAGTTTTTAACTTTCTACATTTTTTCGAAACCATGAATCGATCGATGTTAGACCACCATTAGATACCTGGAAGCACTCGACAGTCGTTTCATCACAGTATGGGACTCGTCTGCAGTGCGCATTCACGACTTTGCACCCGGGAATCCAATTCAGGACGTTTTTGCCTTGCGCTCGAAAGCTTAACATCAAGGACACTGAACCGGCATCCATATCTTACTTAAACCTTATTTTATGTATTACTTACTAGCTCAGGTTTGTCATTATTGACTAGTTTACCGGTTTCAGAGATTATTGAAGAACAAATCTTTAGCAATTCATACAGTTTTACTCATATTATCCGTATAGATAACAATCAATAAAATGAATCGATTCACAAATTTCGACAAATCTAATTGATTTCTTGGAATAACTTGCTGCGTATTGAGCGAAATCGATGAGTTGTACTGTTTAGCCATCATTTAATTAAAAAGTTCTTAAATTTATTTTCACACAGTAGTTACGGATCTACAAAAGAAAGAGTTAACTATTAAATTTCAGGCGTAAGCAATACGGCATTAGTGTTATGCGGCATGAAATACTTATCTTAATGTCAGCTGTGTTGAGATTATTAATTAGATGAGATCCATGATTATTTGTTTGTTCGACGTGAACATCTAAGTAGATTATATTTTTAGCAACACATTGGTTAACATACGCTCGTTTTACTTTCATAGATACATAAGAATATCTTTAAAACTATTACCATAGCGACCTTTACGACTTATGAATTAATCAGTAAAACTGATTTATGTCAATCCAGAGTTTCTATTCAGAAATACTTTTAAATGGAAACTAAAATCTACAATGAATGCATAAAATCTAAATGAAAACATACTCTGAAGTCAGGTTCCTTGTATAAATTATTTTCGTGCTTGTTGATTCATAGAGGGTATATATTCGCGAGATTACTTTCAGCCTTTCTAATGATTAACTTACAAGTAAATCCTCTATTTTCCATTGTATCTCAGAATTCGTTTCAAAATAGAAATGAGTATTCAAAACACGTAAGATAGTCAAACACTAATTCTTAGTAATACACCCTTTTCACAAATCAGATGACTTTAAAATGTCAGTAACCGCACAAAAAATACGGTCAATGTAAACAACATTCATATTTTACTGTTGACATTACGTTTCACTGACATAATGTTTAAAACAACTCAATATGGCACTTAGATATATTAAAATCAGTCACAATTATTCAGCATAGTTTTGAAGAATCCTTCCTCCATAAAAAATTATCAAAATCATTGACAACGGTTGTGTTTTAAATAAACTTAGTTTATTTTTAAAATGTAGACTGAAAACTTTGAATAAATTCTGGATTAAAACAGAAAAACTTTTCGATTTTCATGCTTCAAATAACTTTAGCAGTTTTACGTCTCAATAAGCTTAGTTATTCACAATTAAATGAACAAAATAACAGTATAACTTTGATTGCTTAGTCTAGTTTATCAAAAACGGTGTGACAAAATGGAATTTCAAAATACCAACTTTTTATCATTTAAATTTAGCAAATAGATTCAATAATTATATAAGCTCTTGGTAGAAGGAAACCTAATTAAATGGAGAAATGTGGATGATATATCTGATAATTATTAGCTATAGATAAAAGTCATCGCTAGATATACTGTATGAAAAATAATTTAAATGCGCTGAATTTTTCACCTACAATATATCTAATACGGTTGAAAAAAATGTCAGCAGTGCTATTTAATGACTGATAATGCGACAAAGCTAGCGATAAATATAAAAATCACAATAGTATTAAGAGCACTACTGGGTTTATTCAATGTGATACATTAAGAAAATATGGAATTCTCAGCACTGAATATTTCATCAAGTTTCCTTTACGAAACAATTAATGATTCGTAGTTGGAAGTGATCGTTTCAGGAGTCGACATTTTGTTAACGTTCATTCTCTGCTCAACAGATTGCCAGCCAACGCAATGTCTGGGATTGTATTTCTTTGTACCTTGTGGAGCGATTGGTCGTAAACTTTTATACACGTGCCTGAATAGATTATTCGATCAATAGACATAATTGACATGTTGAAACAAACAGAAGTAGGTAACTTGTTGAAAGGTTTCTGATGTCAGGAAACCGGTAGTCCAAATATTCAAACAGGCCGCCGAAGATTATAAGTCAGGTTTCTAGGCCGAAAGTAGAGTTGTTTTAGTAGCTGATAGTGACTTACAGTTTTGGTAATGGAGACCAGTGTTTGGAGATATTGCCAGGTTATCACTTGTTTTTATTCAGAAGTACAATCATAGTCGTCAGCGACTCAAGTCTTGGTTCAAATGTATCATATTGCAGCTACGTTGTGAAATGAAAATGTACAGGAGCGTCTCTCGTTTAAATATCCCTCTGAGGATTCTGGTTGTGCTATAATCTGCACGAAATAAATACAACTTACTTGAAATCCATTGGGCAGCGTTTATAACCATTGATTCTGCCTAAAGGACATCTGGAAAATGAGTAAGATCATTCCATCCCTTGTCGAACATTTGGTTCTCGTAAGCCTTCTCTGACATTTTGATGCAGTAGCTGCAGTCGATAACTGTCTGAAAATTTATCTAGCACATGGAGTTTACCAGTATTGAGAGGTCTAGTGTCAGTAAAATATTCCTTTGTGTTGATGGTACTTCGATCAGTAATTCGCCAACGTTTCCTACATAGAGTATTATCATTCTATAGTGATCCGCAACTAAAGTCTTTAAAAAGATATGCAAATCATAAAGATACACTTATAAAGTAATCTAGTTCTTTCTGACGTTCACCCGTCGTTGATTAAACTCTATTTTTCCAGTATTGAAGGTTTTATGATCAATCTTTAGATATGAACCCTCAAATAAATATTCAAAGGTTTTTTTAGAGTTGCTTTTATTCGTGGTAACTTTTATATTGTATTGACAATTGATCAAATCTTGGGTAGGGACCAATGTCATATATATCAAGTCTTTTTTAGCACTGACGGGACCCTATCGATCATTTTACAATGTGCACACTGGTGTAGGTGATTCTATATAGCATGAACTCTGTTGAGGCATAAGGGGAATGTTGTAGGTGGTGGAAAGGATATTCTGAACATTGTTTTCAGTTTATTTGTCACTCATCAGCAGCATGTACTGTAATCTTGATGGAAATGATGATGGATTCGATCCCATTTCACTCAGTTACATAGTCAATGATGCTACCACTGAGCTGTCCTGCATGACTGCGATGTGTTTAAGATTGGCTGACCAGTGTGTAATGACCAACTTTAGTGATGGTATTCGACCAGCATTAAGAACAACTTGAGATACATGACATAGGTCACTACACGGTGGTCAATCAATTGAAAATACATCTTACTCACACAAGAGTCGAGCCGAAGTTCCAAAAACTCACTAGTAACGTCTGTACAGTTGAGTAACATGACATCGAATACATCAGGAGGCGGCAGTTTCCTCAGTATCATAGGGAAAATTGCACAAAAGCTCAACCGCGGGCTTCTTGTCGACTAACAAGGAACACGATCTTTCTGATGCATTATCTTTGTCAGTTTTCTGTTTTTTATCTCATCAAAATGTGAGGTGCTTTTTCATATAATATAAAAGAAACCTTGTCCTGATGTTTTTCTGATATATTTTCTAGAATCAAATTAATTTATATAATAACTGTGATAAGAATTAGTTTTTTTCAGTTATATATTTGTTTCGTTCATTCTTTTTAATAACGTTCCTAAACTTCTTGATTTGTATAAATTTTGACCAACTTAAATGATAAATCTCTTTTCATTAAAAAAGTTGACAATGGAATTTGACGATTCGACGGGAATCATAAGTCTGATCTGATCATCTAGGCTTTTGATGTTAGATGTATTTTTGTAAAAAGACTCGCCATGTAGACTTGGCTATTCATTTGGAATCTCTACATGATAGTGCGCTTGGCTATAAATAAGTCGATTTTATACATCTAATTTATTTGGAAATTTATTGAAATTTTCAATTTTTTCTTATTCCTTTCTAGTCAGTCATCTGTGAACGAATTCCGAAGTAAGTCAATGTCAAATAATTTCAACTTTAACTACCGTTTACACTTTTCACTTCATTCTAAATATTCAGTCATAATTTTTTCATCTTGTTTTCAGTGTATCAATATTTTAGTGATGTTGATTTCCATAATCCGATTGATTCATGGAGTTGATAGTTGACAATATGATCTGATAAATTTCTTTTTGTTAAAATCAGTTTGCTGAAGTTGAAAATTCAAAGATGATTGTCAAAAATTTGGAAATATTTCCTCATAGTTCTATGACATTTACTTTTTGTACGTATCTGTAATGTGTATTATTACTGAATAAGTTTGTAAACAGGATAGGCTGCTGTTGAGTTTGACAATACACCTTTCAAAGAGATAGATATAATTACTTTCAAACTCGTTATCTTTATGTTTAAAATGTAGAGAGAGTAACTTTGTTTACCGACATTTTAGAGCTTGTTAATTTTGAAAAAGTTTATAAACTGCTATTTTTTTGCAGAAATCATGTGCTAATCATTTAGGAGATGGAAGTTCTATCATACAATACCTTATGCTCCTTATAATGAGGAAATAAGTAATAAAATGAAAAGTCCTAGTGTAAATAACTACTAATCGTGTTGATTGTACACCGGTCCATTAAGACGATAATTTTTTTTACGAACTTCCAAATTTAACAGTGTTAGTTAGGTTAACAGTTAATTCCAAATTTTAACTATCATAACAATATTACTGATGACTGTTAAACACAGTATGAATATAGCCAGTCAAAAAAAGATAACGTTTGGATACCGCTTAATATTTACTTGCTATAATGCATCGAAGTAAGTGTATTAGAGTTCTTCATTGAAACAAGACGCATCTGTTCAATGTTAAATGGTTGAAATAATAGGACACCTAAGATTTAGTAAAATTATCAGCGTAGTGAGTAACCACACAATTTCTTAAATTTACTGCATATAGTATTTAAAAAGGCTCTATCTGTGGTGGCTTGCTGGTTGTTTGATGGTGCTTTTGACCTACAATACAGGAAGCAAAACATACAAATATAGCTTGATAGTAAGTTTGTGAAATGCGTAGAGGAATCTTGAATTCGGTACACCATGGATCAAAGTATTTAGTCATCTTAATCTTAACTCGGAACCCCATTTTAGATTTATTTCTATTATTTATCTTCAAATGAAGCGTACCTACTTACGAATTTTAATTTTTTAAATATTGTGATATTTATATTATTTTTCTTCACTATTTTATAGTAAATTAATTACAAATATATATATTCATATTATATTGTTTACGGTTATATAAATAAAAGAGCCTAAGGAAAATTATTATCTGCTCATGCACCTCTTAACTTTAAATAAATATATTGATCATGTTTCCATTTTACTTCTGAGGTTACAGTGAGAAGACACAGTAAACTTTTAGGCATATTTCGAAAGAAACGAAAATGTCTTTTTCTCTGATAAAAACTTTTATTATCTAATCAGGAGAGATAGAAAAATCAATGAACAGTTCAGCAGCTAGAGTTTATTTATAAAGAAGAATCATTCCTTTTGAAGAAGTGCCAAATCAAGTATTTTTCGTGTTGTTTTCAACTTCAATAATACCTACTATCAGTTGAAATCAGTTGAGTTATTGCCGATTATTTTTGCCACAATTCTTGTACTCACCTGTGCTAAGTTCCACATAAATCATTTGATATCTTATAATCAGTGATACACAGTGCTCTAGAGGCCGCTACTGGACTGCATTTGTTGGCATATGTGGAATAAAAGAGCTGGGTCATCTGCGAAGTCCGAATCGTCTGTCTGCATTCAAGCTATCGAAAATATCCGCTGCTTCTCTTGAGATGTTGAGGCTTTCTTAGTTCAGCCAACCATCAGAAGAAAGAGAAAAAGCGAAAATAGGTAACCTTGCCTCACATCAGTTTTCACTTGGCTGAATCAATGAGTTTTTCTCCATACACAATTTTCCCGTTTAATTCATCATAAGAATTTCATTTGATATTGAAAATCATCCCAAGTAAACAGCTCCATAATTTTATGATGTCCGTACAGTTAAATGCTTGTTCATGGTCAAAAGATTGATGATTTTCATTAAATTGATTCTTCTGCAATGATCCGTGGTGTCACGATCGGGTCAGTACACTATCGACCGTGACGGAATGCAGCGTTTTGATCTCGAAACGGTGCGGCTACTGAATCTTATGATCAGTTCATTAAAGGCACACAGATTTGTGAATCTTTCACCGTTTTCGTTCCTTTCTCCCAGCCCGTATCATCCCATGATGTCTTCCTATCGAATGTTATCCATTAACCTCGGCATTTAGGTCTCTCATCAGAATGGTCAGGTCCTTTGTTGAGCATTTCTCAACTATCGATTGCGGCCTCTCATTGAATCGATCGTTATCAGGTTCATTTCTATGGTTGTTGGGCTCATAGCACTGAATGACGTTCATTGTAATCTCTCCTTTCTTTCCTGAAAGGATACTTTGACGAAGCTACGATCATGGGGCTCTGCTTTGTGGGCTTCTTTGTACAGCATCAGCACGAGTTTGTTTTTGTGAGACGTGTGTTTCTTCATGGCTGGAATCCAATAGCATCTCTACTGAAGCTAATCTTTACTAGTTAGCCTGCGTTTAATGGGTTTCACTTATTTCAAATACCACCAAGTCGTATCTTTTCATTTCCACAGCAACTTGAATGGCTCTCCCGGTCTCTCATATTGTGTAAACATTCACTGTACCTATATCATTGGTTTTTTTGGTTATCAGAAGTTTGATCTACCTCGTGACTTCCAAAGCAATTCAGCTTTCACTATGCGGTGTCGTAACTATTCTACTTGAAGACATTCCAAGTACCAAGTCAGTGACCAAATTATTTAAGTTACTTTATTCTGGTTAGGCTTTATTTTAGATTTGTTTTCTGTAGGATGTGGTTGGCAATCCCATAACCGGACTGCTTCCTCTATCCAGGCTTAAGACCGGCAAAAACTTGAGAAGGGTTCTAAACGAAGTTCTAGGGATGTATACTGAGATTATTTAGGTGTATAATGCTTGATGGATTATTTAATGGTTACCGTAGTGATATCAGTCTACGATAAAAATCAAAGACAAAATAAAAAAATGATATTCATGACATTTCAAACCCTAAAATAAAAAAATTGTCTCATCAAAATGAATTTATCCATTAATCTTTTCACATTTTTATTCATATGTCCATTCACTAAATATTCATATTTGTTTGTTTAATAATAATAATAGCCTTTTGTTAGCTTAAAACATCAGAACAATTCATTTACTAATTGCTTAATTGTTACAATTCTGTTTAATAAAATCATCTACACTTTTTATTAGAGAAAAAAAACGTGAAAATTAATGCCAAATACAATGAATTAATGCAGATAATGGGCAGGATGATTATGATCCGTGTACATGTGCTCACAAAAATGGCTAGACTTCCTAAATAATTGATAATAGAAAAAAAATACTTTTTATATTGTTATTCGCCCATACCAATAACTACCAATGAAGAGATAAATTTCCTCATCATTTATGTATTTACAGTCAATGATACCACCAACGTGTGATTATTAAAGTTAAGAGGTGTTGATTTCGTTTAAGAATATGGATATTGCATTTAATTCAGTTGATCGCTTACATAATGTAGTTTAATTTACTTACTTACTTACTTTCGCCTGTTATCCCCAATGGAGCATAGGGCGACGACTATTCTTCTCCAACCAAATCGTTCCAGGACTTCCATTTCCAAATCTGTTGGGGGTCGCCAACCCCATGACCAACCCTCCTCCTTTATCCACACTTGGGACCGGCAGTAACCTTAAAGGGGCTCCAGGCGGAGTTGTCATTGAATTTACAATCAGTTAAATGATGTCGATTAATAAATCATTACAAATCGTTGAGTGCAACCACTGTAGTTGAGAGGGATTTAGGGAGTAAGATGATAAATAATGGTGAACAACCTAGGTGTTAATTCACTGGTAAGTATTTCTTAAGACTTTCAATATATGACTGATATTGGCGTATTAGAAAGTCTGGAATTCAAACTAGGGAATCGTAACATATGTTATTGTTTTGTTGAATTTTACACTGACACCAATCGATGATAAATAATTATGTTCAATATGTAAGAGAATATTCATTAGTTGTTTATATGAAATAAAAATGAAATTGTCAGTCTGAATGCGTAACCATAGTGATAACGCTCAATATTATATGAATTTATTATCTATGCAGTATGAATATTTCATGATCTGTGTTTTTGAAATGACTTCAAAGCTTACAAATTTATCAACTGAACACTAATCACATTTTATTCTTAAGCAGTATAAGTTCATCAGTAATTTTAGGTGATCGAACGAGTCTAATTAACGCACATGCAATGATTGAGAAAGATTTCAAAATTATCAGTCTTAATGAACATATGCGAATTTAATAGAACTGATGAAACAGTAGTAAATGTATTGTGATAATAAAAGTGAATTTAGTTGAATGTTATATAAATATTCTCAGATATCAGGTACATGAACGTTAACTATCATTTTGTTAACCATGTGAATGCAGCCAGAAATGAATTATGAAAGTTTTGTTGTAGGCGTTGAGCAAGAACGAATAATCTTTATAAATGCTGTGTTAACTAGGAAAAAGATCTCTGAAGTTAACATTAGATGATCAGGATGTTTGCTCTATTGGACCAAACTGTTTAAACACATCAGTATGGAACATTGAATCTGCTTGACATAGCACAATATTATTTTACTACCCTACGACCACATTAAATTCTATGATGGTATTTTTAAATGACCTGTTGGAATGTTGAAAGTGGTCATTCGAAAACCCTGGACGTAGGTTTTATCCTAGCTGCAATTCGTTAACATGGCGTTCCAGTAATTTTTCAAGGCAGTGCTTCTCAATCACATAGTTTCACGAACTAAATGGTAGAGAATTAGGATATATGTATACTTATATAATAACAAATACAATTTTTACGTTTGATATTACGAACAATTCGCTACACACACACTGTGTAGTAACTGTTTAATGATTTCTGAGTTTGTGTGTTTTTGATTATTGTTAACAAAGCGTTGGAAAAATGTATTAACATGTTTTTTTAGACGGTATCCATTCCAACGAAACTTCGAAATATCCTACTGAAAACATAAAGAATAGTTCACTCTCATCTATAAATAGTTCAAACAATAGTTTTCGATCTCTGGATGAAAATTCATCATCTAAATTGAAAAACTATCAATTTTTTCATCGATTTTTGAAATATTCATCAAAACTAGGCAGGAAGACAAAATCTGCGAAACATTCACCATCATCATCATTATCCTCACCGACATCACCGATTCATTCAAATTCAAAATCATTTAAAAATACTTATACACCTGGATATAATGTTTGCAGTCCGGTAAGTAATTGGTTAATTTCTCTTTCATAGTAAATCCACGGGTGTAAATTTATGTAATTGCAATGTCTTACGTTACATTATGTGAATCGATATTCATGATCTTCATCTTTCTCACCTCAAATCTATTTCACTTGGTTAGACTTGTTGAGTAATATCTGATTATATGTCTACTACCTGTACCACTATGGGATTTGAATTGACAGTTACATCTTTACGCTAATGTGGTATAGCAACTTAAACTGATATATGTACGTAAGAATATCTAACTTGTAGTTAACTGACTGATTGAGTAAAAGTCTGTAATTTTGCGCTAAAATAAACACTGATTGCTCAGCTGCTAATAACCCTTAAAATATTTGAATATCTAAGCACTGTAGCGGATCGATCATAGTACAAATCACTGTGTGAAGACGTTTCTGACAGAAAAATCAGTCTAAATCCCAGTAAAGATCTCTCTTATCTAAAGATCGTAGTTAAACTTAGTTCCTGAATTTCAGCTTCGTTCATTTCTTAGCGTACTAACGTCCAACGTAAACTAAACATATATCTATTCTTAAAAATATGAAAAGTTACTCTTTTAAACAATCATTGTTTTAATCTTTCCTCAATAAAAAGCATAACTATTACACAATAGTTTTAATTCATATAAAGTTTATCTGATAAACAATAAATGATAACCAACTAAAGTCATTTAACTACTTCCTAGGTGATGAGAAATAGTACATGTACGTATCCGAATTTACGTTCAATGTTCATCGCTACTAAAATTAGGCTATTAACTAAAGTTTTATCAGTGTTAATGTGATCATAATATTTTGGATGTTGAAAGTCCCAGTGTATTTCGATTATCCATGTAGCTTGTTGTTAATACTATAAAATTTTGTTTACTGTCCTGCAATCAATAGTTGCTTCGCCTGTTCTCAGTGTTGAACTTCAAAGTTATAAAGTTATCACAATTGTTGGGTCTTATAATGTAAGACAAGCATTTATCCTATTTTTACGTTATACTTTATGCAGTTAAATGATCTGCCCATTAAACTACCAAACTCGTATTGTATAACTTAAAATCCTATGAACCTTCCAAATAGTACATCAATTAAAAAGTGGTTTCAAAGGACAGCCTCTTGTTACGTCACATTTGGACTTTAAGGTTTGGAAAGTAACAGTTTAAGTCATTATTACCTGCTATATCACAGTGATCATCCAACATAAACACTGATAGCCGTCTTACTACTGACAAGTTTTAACTCCTCAATAAACGACCTCTTACCACAACTTTAAGAAATTTACTTTGAAGTTGGTGGTCGAACTACTAGTTTTATTCACAAGCTTTCATATATACAATCTCGATTATTGTTTGGATTTATGACTACTTCTATAAACTAGGTACTTTATAGAACAGATTCGTAGACTCAATTATGTAAGTGCTTGATGAAGTTACCATTACCACAGTGGCAAGTTAAGAAGAAATTATTAAGATGAATATCAAAATTGAATAACTGATGCAATAAAACTTATAAAAAGTAAGTAAATACGCAGAAAACATGGTTCACGAAGAAATATATATATATTGGAATCCAAAACATCGAATAAGATAAGAAGTGAATGCATCTGAGCCGTTGTGAATGATTCTAAATCAAGTCATCCAAACTCGTTAATCATTGATTTCTGTTATGGTACGAATACCAGCCAAGAAATTCTCACCAATCAACATGACTCAAACTCACAGTCAGTGATATCATGAAATAATATCAAATGTTGTTTTGGTAGGGTTGTTAATCTCATAGAATATTTTAACCGTAAATTTCTTAATAAATTCTCATCATTGTAACTTTGGGTGACAGCCATTTCTAATCATATTTTTTAATTTGCAATATTTCAATACTGTTTGTTACCTTAAGTAGTTATTTTCTTCCCAGCTAATAAAAGCTTAAAAACCAGTCAATTTCAGTCAATAGAAATAGAAATAATATTAATATTAATAATAATAATAAATTATTGTGTATTTATCGTATTATTACAAAATATGCATCCTAGACATAAGCACATACACCGGAACTACCTATTTCATTCACTTTACAAATCTGTTAATATATATATTGAGTGTACTTGATGATTTTGTAAAATGTTCACTTTTTAAGCCATTATGAATTTGTGTTATAAAAAGGAGGAGTGAATGAATGAATTACAAAAATTGATTTGAACAGTTGTTGAAATTTTACCTTTTTCAATGGTTCAATAAAAATTTTTTCAAAAATAAATAAATAAACATTCCTATTAGTTTGTTATGACTACTTCACAAAAAAGACTTTCAACAGAAAGCTAATTGAAAATAAATATTAGTATATAATTGGTAATAAGAACACGATTATAATGAATAGAATATACAGGAAGTCGTTAAAAATATTTTACTGGTTATATCTCAAAAAATAGATAACTGTATATGTCATACAAGAACATTAGCGTCCCAAATAGAGAATAATTAATTCTTCATGAGATTTTTCTTAAAAAATAGTAAGTTATGCTAGTTAATTGATGTTGAACTTAATGAATGTCAATGTAACATAGAATGTCCTAGTTACATTATATACTATCTGTTAGATCCTATTAAATGGAATGAAGTCGTTTAATTGATGATATGCTAATTATAACATTTTGACCTCAAATTTTTTTTCGTTGATATAATTATTTAACTTTTAATGTTTCTGTTCTAAGCCAATTCAGATAATTGAGATAGTACGTGCTTTTGTTTCAAAAATATAATGTCTTTCACTCACAAATAGTATTAACCTTTATAGAGTAATACTAATTTCGTTTGTTATTTCAACCTTGTGTTGCATTGTTTGTGCAATATTCTGCTCACCACGAATTAGGACGAAACAAATACTGAAGAGGATTAAATATTCAATATTACAGTATGATAGAATATTATCTAATGATTTGTATTGCATTTTGAAAATTTTATTCCTGTGTGTATATTCATAGTATTCGTACATATACGAAGCACTTGAGGAAATTCAGGACATGCCTTATGTAACAAACGACAATATTAACTAAACATATTAAAAGAATTTAAGTAAATTTTGATCTCACAAATAACTCACATGTGTATTTATTTATGTTTGCTTATTTGTTAAATGCTAATCCAGAAAAGTCTTATTCCATAACCAAATGAAACGATCATTGAGTGTTCTAGATTATCTTCTTCAAAAAAGAATGGTACTGTTAAATTTTGATCCCCCTTTGGAATAAATCTGGTTAAAATGCTAACTAATTAACCATTATTCCTACATCTTTCGAAAATTAAACACAATATACATTTGCATTTAAGTTATAGGATGTAATTTATTTTTAAGGATAAGTTGACATTCTATTATATACTAAGTAGTAACATATGAGTATTGATTGCCTAATAAGCAAACAAACAAAATGAATTCGGTAAGTGCTAAAAGGGTTAGATAAATTTAACACTACTCAATGGACATTAAACTTTAAATACCCCATTTGTATATGAGGTTATCTGAAGCCTCAGCAGAATAATCGTAATGTGTCGGACGTTGAGGCTCGGCGAAACAGGATGTAATCCATCACTGAGCATCATTTACCTTAAGATTAAAAGTAAATCTTGCCGATGAGCACAGGTTAGCATGGATTCTGGTTTCGAAAGCTCTTGAAGATAACCTTACACCACCTAGCAAGATTATTTAATTGTTCTATCGATTTTATTACTGACACACATGATGGTCATTTTAACTAAACCAAACGTAAATTTATTTTCTCTAAAGTTCAAAGTATTTATTACTTTGCTCAAAAATGTTTGATATTGGTTATTTTCGATAGCATAAAATGAGACAAACAATTAAACGCTCCTATATAGTAAAAAGAAAAGAAATCTCAAAATTTCGATTTCAGTTATTTCACCACCAAATGATCAAGATTTTTTTTGTGTAAATGATTCATATTTCATTGATGCAAACGATAAAATAATGTAAAAGTCCAGAGAATTTTTGAATTTTGAAAAATGTGTATTTATTCAGTTGTTTATCGGAGCTGACTTAGATTTCAAGTTGCTAAAAAAAGTAGAACAGTACCAATCTACTGAAAGAAAATTCATGTTCTATAGTTAAAGGATTATTTTTTGAAAAACTATTTCTGTGGCTTACTTAAACTCTAATACTAATACTATCCTTACATCTGAAGTCAGTTAAATTTTTTAGCCAATAGTTTATTGTATGATGCATTTGTTATAAGTTTTCAAGAAGGCTTTATGTAAGTTTTTTCTTAATTTAATCACTATCGGTTCATGAAATGTTTGCAGTCTCAAATGACAATACCCAGTTCTCCTACAAAATGTCGTCTCTCATTTAGGCCTACTTAAATTATTTTCAGTAATATCATTTATATCATTAAATATTATAGGCTGACTCAATCAAATTATTGTGCAGTGTGCTAACTTAATTGAAACAGAATATTAAGTGCATAACATCATTCATTCTAGTTGTATTGAAAATTACAAACAACCGTTTGTAAAGAAAGCATTTTATTTTTAAAAAGTGTCGTTACTCAATCTAAACCTACTGTATAACAAATTTATAGGTTAAACGAAATCGGAAACTGACACGTTACTTACTTACTTATCCTTATGTCTGTCTCCATTTTTCGGTATAACGGGCTTCTTGGCCGTCCTCTTTTCCTTTTACCTTGAGGGTTCCAAGTGGTTGTTTGTCTTGTGCCGCAGTTTATTACTTTTCTCAATGTGTGTCCTATCCAATTCCAGCGATTCTTCCTGATTTCTTCCTTCACGGGAATCTGGTTTGCTCTTTCCCACAGTAGATTTTTGCTGATGGCGTCTGGAGAACGGATTCCAAATATTCGGCGTAAACAACTGTAAATATCTACTTGTATCTTCTGGATGATGGCTTTCTTAGTTCTTCACGTTTTGCGTCCCATACAGTAGAACTGTCTTGACATTTGTGTTGAAAATTGTGACTTTGGTGTTGATTGATAGTTGTTTTGAGTTTCAGATGTTCTTCAGTTGTAGGAATGTTTTCCTTGACTTGCTGATCCGCACATCTGCATCAGATTTACCTTGCATGTCGATGATGCTGCCCAGATATCTAAAGGTTTTAACGTCCTCCAAGGCATCTCCATCAAGATTGATTTGGTTGGCGCATGTTCTGTTGCATCGCAGAATCTAAATCGACCGAAATAACTCCGTATGATGTTGACTATCTTCTCAGGCACGCCGTAGTGTCGAAGAAGCCTCCACAGTGTTTTTCTGTCCACGCTATCGAATGCTTTCTCGTAGTCGATGAAGTTGATGTAGGAAGGTGAATTCCATTCAATTGACTGTTCCAAAATAATTTGCAATGTCGCAATTTGGTCGGTACACGATCGATTCTTACAAAATCCAGTCTGTTGATCTCGAAGTTGGACGTCTACGAAGTCCTTCATTTTGTTTAACAATACCCTGTTGAAGGCTTTTCCTGGTATCGTGAGAAGAGTGATGCCTCTGTAGTTCTGACACTGAGATCGGCTTTCTTCGGTATTTTGATGAGTTATTCTTCTTTCCAATCTGATGGTACTTGTTCCTCATCCCAAATCTTCTTGAAGAGAATGTAAAATATTTTGGCAGTTGCTGCCACGTCTGCTTTGATTGCCTCTTCTGGAATGTTGTCTGGTCCCACTACTTTGCCACTATTGATTTTTCTGATGGCCATGCTGGACGTTTCAACTGTTGTTTTAGTCGACATTGATTGGGAGGTCCGTGAATGCTGCATCGATATTGTGTGGGTTCAGTCTGCCTGTTCGATTCAAGAGTTTCTTAAAGTGCTCTACTCACCTGTTTCTCTATTCTTCAATGTTGCTGATAACTTCGGCTTCCTTTCTTTTCACTGGCCGTTCTGGTTTACGTTAATTTCCTGCCTCGTGACTTCCGAAGAAACTCGGTTTTCATCATGCGACGTCATAACTCTTCTGAAAGAAGACCTTCTAACTCCCAGGGCAGAGTTAAAAGGGTTTGAATAATTTTTTTTGTTGGCGTTTTTTAAGAAGTTAGTTTTCTACGGATGGAATCACTACCCCTATGTCTAATTCCTCTTCTTTATCCGGGCTTGGGACTGGCAATAGCTCCAGTGGGGCTCCAAGTGAAGTTGAAACAAACATGTTAGATCACAACATTTCACAATGTGGTTTCTTGCGAGAATTTAATCAATCTTTTGTTAGACCATCATCACTGGTAGTTTCATAAACTTCTTTTCTTCAATAATGACATATACTAATAAGAAGTGGTTACTTCGAAACCTGGGATAAACGGTAAAATAATTTGTCAGTTAATACAAACCCTAATCAAGTTCATTCGTTTGTAACGGTGCGATTCTGAAGATTATCTAGAATTTGTAGCAAAATAAATAGACCTAGACAGTCTGAATAAATAGTATCTTTCGCTGTGAGAAATATTTAACTCTTAGACTTTATTCTGTTTATATTCAAATGTTTATATTACATAGAATTTAAACGATAGAATTTGCAAACACTAATGTTAGATCATTATGAAGACCCTTTCCTAAACTGCGAGTACAAAATTGTTGGGGCTGTTGAGTTTGATCAGAGTTATGAACTAAACAGTGGTACAATGCTTTAAAGTTTCCAACAGTAGTCTTACATTGATCTTTCTTTTTCTAAACGTTGAATCGTATCAGCATATTTATGGGATATTGTGTTGTAGACCAGTTCAAGACGCTAAAACTATTCTCAGACCCATCTATTTATGCCGAAGAAATCGGGGAAAAGAAATTTTAAAAACAGAATATTTTGTAGCTAAAGCTAAGTCCAATTTTCAAGTTTGTCCATTTAAATATTTTACGAATACTACTTATATCATGGTTAATATTGGGCAATTATAGGCGATTGAACTAAGCTAATAACATTATGAATATGAGATGCGCAAGCTGTAACAAGAGAGATTGTGTGGTCTTGTCTAACAACATTAGCCTAGATATCACCCTCAAAGTCACTACTTCACACCGACTGGTCAATATTTACCCACCAGGATGAAGAATATGAATTTATAAAATATATCGGATAAAGAATAGTTCAGTTTTATAAGTTAGTTTAACAGTTGTTCTCCTGTCTTAATTTTTGAATAATAAATGCTAACAATCCTTATTTACGCTGTAATTTTTTGTAGGCTGTCTTTATCTACCAGCTTCGTTACAGATCATAATACTTTATTGTACATTATTATGTCTAACGCTTAGGTTACACTTTGTTCGTAATCGTATATTTTCACAAAATTTGGATGTATAAGCTTTATCATAGCAGACTGCTTAAATCAGATTATAAAAGTTATTATCAAAAAACATTCCTGGTCAAAACGTTAGTACAGGAAAGGAAGCAATTACTTCCCAACAAGCCACTAATTATCCATGTCACTCTACGAACATATGATAATCTAAAACCATACTTAATTGATTCAATGTCCTACATATGCAAAACACTGTCCACAGTAAATCTTTATTGATTATTAGAGTTTATCAAGAAGGATAAATGTTTTCAACTACAGTAGAATTCTCACCAATATAAATTTTTCATTCTCGAATTTTTGTTGGACTTTTTATTCTTTTTAATACGATTCAATGCATTTATATAAATATTTGTTCTATTAATTTCAATGATTACAGATGATGTTATCGAGCAATGTTAAACTGATTGATACTTGTTTAATTAAAAGGCCTTCTGGCTTCGGCTTAACTTTATGTGGTGTTATAACATTTATCCCGAAAGGCATATTAGATATCAACACAACATCCCATTCGCCGGATAAACAAGAAGGATTCTTTCAACGTTTATTACAGATACGAAGTGTGAGTGATAATGTACTGACATATGACAATGATTTAGTTCAATCGCGTGGAAAGAATAATTCAATACGATCAGGAGATATATTACTCGCTGCAGGCGGTTTTCGTTTAGCCGGCTACACTCCTGAATATGCTGTACAGTTGTTAGCCAAAATTCCAGTAGGCAGTGCTATTCAAATTACTTTACTACGAGGACTGGGGATTCCTTCAATTAATTCTTTAACTGGAGATGATATTTCTGCCAAATATTTGTATGAATTAAAATCAGCCAGTTTGTGTTCTTCAATGAGCAGTTCTTCAGAACTGTCACCAAACAAGACAAATTCAAATGTTGAAGCTCAGATTAAATCAAAATTTGCAAAATCCTATGTCAAACATGTGAGTGCATTACTCAAAGAATGTAACATATTGAGCCGGTTTTTAGGTAAATAACCCTACTTACTCACTAAGTCAAATAAAATATAGGTAATATTGATTTTTATATAAGACAAATGTACATAAATGATTTTTCAGCTCATTACAATTTTTAAGTTATAATTAGTTAGGCTTAATGACAGAACTCACCTTTATAATTAACTCAACCTCCAAATGTGGTGATATTCACTCAACATTAAGCTTTGATTAAAATCGGTATCACTACAGAAATTTCAAGCCACAACAGATGTTTATTTGATATTAACAGTTACACTTATTTGAGATCGACTAAAATACATAAAGCTTTTGTAACATCGAGAAAGTGTAATAGGAGTAAACGTAATCATATAGCAGCAAGCACTGGTGTAAAAGCTTCAAGGCACTAGTGTAATAAAACCTGCGCACTTTCGATTATACGAATCATTGTCATTCATATTCACAAATAACAGTCGAAAACTAATAATTATTATTCCTAATTCACAAAACATTAGTATTTCTTTACTGTTTCTTGACTGGATTTACCAAATAGTGAAAGAACTCTAGGCCAGTCTTATGTAATGAACAGTGTTACTAAGAAGCAGTCCTTCACAATCAGGTTTTATGGCATATTATTAGATAAAACGGTATCAGCGAGGAATATATTAATGAAAACTATAATTTCTGAATGTTCTTCACTCGGGTTTACCGATTTTTTTCAAGTGATTAGCTTCAGATAAATCCTTTCAAGTTGCTTGTAATCTGCAAGCAGAACGTAATATTGTCGTTAAATAATGAGAAAATCAGTTGCACTACATCATACAAAACCATTTTGTTATTCATTGCGAAAGATAAATTCTTTATTATCATAATTATTTTTTGTACAGCTAAACTTCTTGATCCTATAACTTTAAATCAATAATTTTTTCAAAATTTTTAAATCCAAAATGCATTTGATCGAATTCTATTGGCTGTATATATTACTCTTTAAAGGACAACCCTCAGGAACAACGCGCGCTCCCCTTTCGAAAGCCACTCCTAGTATTGTTCTTAGATTCATTTCGAAAATGATTGCTTTGTGTGATCAGTATTACTTATCCCATAGGAGTAAATAACTCTATAGGTGCACGTCGTTGTTAGACAAAGCGGAAGTCTTGTCTTGACTTTAAGTGCACCCCGAAGAATTTCTGTCTTTTTATAATTGTAACTGGACATTATTTGACAAACTTTAGCTATATATGCATATTATTGTTATAAATTGAGCCAATAAATTGCACTTTTTTGTTGTTATTATTGTTGATAAAGCTTTGCTCAAATTGTTGTAATTCTCTAAGAACTGTAAATTTGGTTAAAAATGAAAACGATTATGGATTTACTTATTTTTATACAAATTATGGATGTTTGGTTAATCAGGTAAGTTTTTAACTAGAATATTATGCCTAATTACTTATATTATACGCATAAAAAGTACGTTTTGTATGATCCTGTGCTATTGAAATGCGAACTGTCAGTGAATTAAAACAACTGGGTTTTACTCATTGTATTTACCTGGCTGCCTACATTTATATGGACAGGAACTTACCAAACGCTTTATCTAAAATTGTTGAAAATATGTAATGTGATCATGAATATCCCATAAGCATATTGCCTGTAAGATTAAATGAGTACACAAAAGAGAAAGCATGAAACTTAATCAAAGACAATATGAATAACTCAATGAAATTCCATAGCACTGACTACTTTGATGTACACCAATGACTAATATAGCAGTTTAGTATGTCTAGCCATAAACATTGTAAACAAATAATCATCAAGAAGTTATCGTTCTATTCAAGCTCTACACTTAACACACTTCATATATATAATGATCATAAAGAATTAAATTTAGTTACAATCAAAAATTAAATGATAATTAGCTCCGAGTAATAAGATTTCATTTTGCCAGATAATATTTCTAACAAATATTTCATTTCACAATGAACAGGTTGCTATAAACAATGACAATCAGTTGAATAAAACAAAATTACAACCAGGTGATCTTATAGTGAAAATCGGTAAATTCGATGTAACCAACTTGACTAAATCTCAATTTTCACAATTATTGAATGTATACTCAAAATCGAATTCAATGCAATTTACTGTGATTCAAGGTAAGTAAGTAAATCACAAAAGAATTGTATTTATTTTACTGAATATTTTTAATGATATTTTATGCATAGATTATTAGTGCAATTTTTATTTAATTTCCTTTTAATTAAACTTATTAGCTGTAATTAAAACCGTCCAGTTACTTAAGACTTCCCTTTTAATCATTGAACAATAAACATTAAAAATGAATGTGCTTTAAATAACTTTCAACTCAGGTGGATGATTGTTGTGGTGTTTGGTTCTCTGAGCTGGAGCTTTCGTTGTTCTTCAGAACAACATCATCAGCACAAACTTCGGAAAGAAGTGAAGTATTCGAATTTATCAACGTTCGACCTGTAACTTGTTCTGTTAACCTCGATCTTGATTGGTTGCTGTTGACCTTAAATATGTCGTTCAGAAGAACAACGAAAGCTCCAAAACCAAAACATCCAGCTCAGAGAACAAAACACCACAACAACTTTCAACAACATTTCATATAGTCAAATTATTTTTATAACACCTTGTTGATTCACATAAATCAAATACCGAATGGATTACTAAATATACTTAAAAATACTTTAGAGATTCATTGTGAAAATCTGAAAACTAATATTAATCTAATCTTAACCTAATAATAGTCAGCGAAACTCAGAAATTATATCTATTTTGTGTTTTTGCACATGAAACGTCTGGTTTTCTCGAACGGTCGCTGTTCAGTATTTCTTTATTTTTCATAGTGTAATGAACAATAAGTTGTCATGATTAAGTGAATATAATGTTCTTCCAGTTAACAAGTGCGTACGTCACACACTTTTATCAGCGTTGATGATATAACTTCTTGTCTAGATAAAACTAGGTAATTTAGGCTTTTTTCAGTTGAAATTTATGATCTTCAGTTACTCCCTAATCAACTACCGCGCCTTACTGGACGCAAGAAAAATATTGCAAGGAAATCTGTTAGGGCTCTACTTAATGATAATAAAGCTAAGAATATATTTCAGGAACCACTAGAAAAACAGTTAGGCAGCCATGTAATAAGTGATGCTCACCATGAGGCAGCTTGAAATGATATCAAAAAGGCTGTGGAAACAGCAGTGATATCTTCTAGTAAGGTAAACCATAAGGTTCGGGAGAGGCCGTGGATTTCAATAACACATACCGAACTGATGGATGCACAAAAGCTCATCCCTCCCGGCTCTGAGTGAGATGAGGAGAAAAGTCAGTTCAGGCGCATGCTGACAAAAAGCCTTCGCAATGATATAGGACAGTGGTGGGTAGCGAAAGCAAGGAAGATGGAAGAGACAACGGCGATAGGCATCAGTAGGCAACTATTCGGACTTACCAGGGAAACCGGTATTAGGAACTCGAATGTGAATGAAACATGGCTCGAAACCGTTTGCATTGGCGCAGGTGCATTTACTCTTTGTGTTCTCTCAAATTGTAACCTTCTGAATTCCTCACCACATCTATCTTACTCTCTTTAAATTTACCTCACTGAATAATACTTCTTAAATAACATCTTCGAACCCTAATCTCTCCGATTACTTCTAATACTTTTACTACCGCTACTACTATAGAATTTGAATTGACAATTATATCTCTGTGCTAATGTGGTATGGAAACTTGAACTGCTGTACTTACGTGCAAAGTTCTACCTTGCTGTTAATGATGATGATGATGACTGCGAAATACATTATTTAGATAAGTCATTTCTATACTATCTACGACACCTAGTTCAATCAGATTGTGTCAAATATTATTATTGTTATTATTATTACTGTTGGTATTCAATATTACTCATATATTTTAAAATGAGTCATTTCATTAGTTCCTGTCTACTGGGTGTGTACACAAGAATAATGTAAGAAATAAATGTACAATTTGGATTGGTTAATTTTGTTTAAGAGTTTCATACTACTACTAATGTTTATTTATATGCAAAAACATTGTTGTCTACTTTATTGGTTTTCAGTCTATGCATTTTTGTTCAATGCCAAACCACACCCAGAGAATGTGGGATAAGAAAAAACTAGTTTCTTTGCAATGTAATTAAATTTGAAACAAAATTTAACTCTAAATTAAAATTTGTATTTTATTTTCATTTGAATTTCGCTTCTTTTTTTTATCTTCAATAAAGTTTGTTCAAATTGTTTGAAACAAATAAATTATGCAAATGTATATTTCAACTTTAAAAAATCTACAAATAATTATTTGAATTTAAACGAACCACCTTTAACATCAACAACATTGCCAACAGTTACAGAAGCCAATAAAACTGAAATGATATCGTTCTTAAGAACAGTATTAAATCCAAATGGTCATAGTAAAAAGTCTACAAATCCTAATCTACAAACAAATAATAAATATTTCTCTTCAAATACTCCTGATCTCAGTAGTGTAAATAATTCATCAGTGAATGAGAAATCTTTAACATGGTTGCCTGAACAGTGTATTACACCAGGCATAGGTAAGAGTGGTCCATGTGAAACACCAGATTATATACCTATATCACAATTATTAAACACATTGAACACAAACAATCATCAAATCAGTACTCCTTCTCGTCGGAATAATATTCGACTACGACATAATGATCAAAAGCCTGATGTGCCCAATCAAAATCAACATCAAATAAATGAACCGTCACAACAACAACAACAACAGCAACAACAACCAAATGTAAACTATCAACATTCTGATGGTATTTTATCACATCAATTATCTTCACCATTTTCATCTCCATCAATACAAACAGAAAATCCACATAAACAAACATTGAATAATCATGAAATTAACACTGATAATATAAATCATGATCATCTGACTGAAAAAGATATGAAAATTCTTTATAGTACAAAAGATGGAAAATTGAATTTTGTTAAAGAAAATATTGAACAGGATTTAGTAAGTGAATGATATCATTGTGAATATTATGATGTATTTAACTTCTCGTGAGTCAGTCGACTTCACTGGTATATTCTAATAATATCAACACTTCTACTCTTAAAGTTGCAATAATGTAAAATGTTTTTTTTTTTTCTAGAAAAAAATATGTGTATTACTTCACTTGAATTGTTTTTCGAACTTAAAAAATTATTCAGTTTTGTGAAAATGAATAAATTTTATTCATTCACTAGAAAATTAAACAATTGAACTTCTTAGTTATCTATAAGCTCATGGATATTTAGGTCTGGTTGTAATCAGAATTATTGACGTGTGTAAAATTATCTAAGATCTTAAGTAATTACGTAATTTGTAACAGAAATTGACGAGATGATACTAAAATAATACTTCATTATACAAAAATCAATAATTTCACTATGTTAAAATCGAAATATTTGTTAAATTAGATTAATTACAAGCCAGTTTCTCCAAAGTGCTTCTTATTTTTTTATGTCTACCTCGCAATTTTCGTCACAAATGTTCTATGATCTGTCTCTTTTCATTTCACCCTGAAAATTCAAAGTCAGGGATTGCTTATGATGCAGAATGATTTCCACAAAGTGTGATCTATCTACCTCCAGAGTCGTTTCCTGATTTCCTATTTAGTTAGCGGATGATTTGTCCTCTGCCGAAATAAGTCCTGCTGATTGTATCTGGTCAACAGATTTAGAGTATTTTGCATAGATACGTGTTTTTGTGAACACAGAACTTTCTGATGATGGCTACGATAGTTTTTTTAATCTTAGTATTGTAGAATTATTTTAACGTTGGCGTTAAAAATTCTTATTTTGATGTTACCTGAAAGTTATTTTAAGTTTTAGATATTCATCACTTATTGGAATGTTACATTAGCTTTATCGAGCAGTGCCTTCATATTGGCAGCCCACGTATGTAAAGATTTCCGCTTCTAGAAATTCGGCACCAAGATTGTACCCTTAAAAATGTTTGAGCCTATTGCTTTGGAAGGCTCCGATAAAACTCAGAAAGCTGTGTGTACACATGTATGGGAAAAAATACTTTCACCTTCAACTATGTTGCTGAAAACAGGTCTACCTATCAGTTGACATCCTCGGTCATTACTTCGAGTCACGGTCACTCCATGATACTTTCGTATCCAGCTTTGTGTATCCTGATTTTAGCCTTCAAGTCCACCATAACGGCGACCGGATCCTTTTCAGTGGACTGCAGCCTTTCTTAAAACTGAATGATATAGTCTGCACTGTCCGCATCACTTGAAAACATCACTTGTAACCCTTTCCTTCTTTGTTCTGAAGGATAAGCGGATGATCTAGCAGATATAAGATTATCACCCTTCTTATCGCGGAATATTTTCATCATTACGATCAAAATACACTAACTAATCTTCCAAAGCTAGTTTTTTCTGTAAAATTTGTGTCGAATGAGGCTCACTTCTTCTTAGCAGAGTGATGGTGCATTTTTTGTCTTCTGTGGTTACTGGAATCGTTCTTCAGGTCTTCGACATTGTGTCGACATTCATGCATCTATGTTGACTGTCCTTTTGATTGTTAGAGGAGATATAGTTCACATGTCTTCTGAAGAATCTCGGCTTTGTTTACAAGTTGTCAAAACTTTTCAATGTGGTGATTCTTCAACTCAAATGGTAAAGCTTAATTGACTTAAACATTTTCCTGATTAGCGATTTTTCAGTGGGGTTATTTGTTTGAGTTGTGTGGTTGTTGATGCTTCTTCCAACCCTCCTCACTTATCTGGGCTTGGTAGGAGCAATAACACTAGAAGGGCTCCAGGTGCAGTTAAAACGTGAAAATTCTGTTATTTCAAATTCGTTTATTTTTGTTAAGAGAGGGGTCAGTTACTGGAAGCTTTTCATCTGCTGTTCACATACCAGCTTATATAATCGATTATAAAGACAGGAAAGTACTGTTACCATTGAAATTCAGATCAGTACCTTGTTTGATTTATAACTTAGTTTTATCGGTCAAGAAACGCAAAACACTTATATCATCTTATAATACACACTTTGTTTCATACTATTAATTTGGACTGAATACGCCATAATTTTGAAATGAATAGTTGTTATTATTTTCAGCATAAATCTGAGTCAACTCGCATAAATCTCTTGAAAACAGAATTTTATTTAGCGATTCAAATTGTGGATTAAGAAACATTTGATAAATTACATAAGATACCTTTATCAATTTTGAACTACTTTTTAGCATCACTTACTCTTCAAATTGATTTCAAAGAAAAAAACGGATAAAGATTTGGACAATATAATGCATTTACATTCTTCTAAAATAATTCAAAAAGAATAAAGTCATTTTACATCATATGAACAGAATTTTGTTCACAAGACCAACAATGGCAAACATTCAATCGTTTAGTAAAATGATAGCATGATAATTATCTGAGTTGTCTATTAGAAATTGAATAATTGGATAAATTTTTAAACACCTGTGCAATCACTTAAACAGATATATTTCAAAATTATTAGTCTAAAATGAGTTGATTTTTAATAATAGGAAAGTGTTCTCTGTCTTGGCATATCATACCAGAATGAATAAGGTCAAATAAATTTTCATCACATGAATAAATAAAAATTAACTGAAGAGTTGAATTACTTGTCAAAGATTCCATAAGAGCTAATATCTATAAATTCAGCATAGCAAAGTTCTGTCCTTATCAAACACATTGTTCTAACAAATTATAATCTATATTTTTGAGTGATGAATAATACTGACATACCGACTAAAGCTCTAAAAGATATCCGAAACGTAATTCTTTAATAATCTATTTAATTGTTCAAAATTTCTTTAAATTGTAATGACTACAAATTAGAAATTTAACGTTAAACAGATTAACTAGATTACACTCGTGAATATTAAACAACTGATTCCATCTTGTATATGTAAAATAACAGTTAGTATCAACTTGGACTATGGTATCAATTCTATCATCAAGTATCACATCTGTAATAAATTAAAAAATAGAATTTAGATGTATTGACACAGTCAGCTAATATGTCTTTTTTTACTTGTTAATTATTATCATTCAAATAGCATTAAATTAAAACATTTACAGAATAATGAAAATTATTTAAAAGTGAAAGACGATTAAACTCAGTAGAATGATAACATCCTAAATATCTTTAATGTAAATACACATACAAAAAAAATAATTTTGTAATACAATATGAAGATTGAAGCATTTCATCTGGTTTACTCAAAATAAACTGTTTCTGATATGCTTGAAACGATTACAAGTTCACTTTACTCGGTAGTTGCGACGAAAATCAACGATACAGGGACACGATTGGCTAATCTAATCCATTTGTCCCAGGCCCTGTTAACTAGATCAAGAAGTTTTGATAAGGCATAGAGAATGTATTGTACAAGCACTCAGAAAGTATGAGGTCTCTCAAACAAACAAATCAAGATTAATATACAATGATAGAAACGCCCGTAGGAGAGCCAAATGAGAAATGTAAGCTAAAGGCCAACTTAGCATCTCCGGCGAGAAAACATACATATTCAAAATTTCAGAATAAAATTACAAAATCAAGACCTTTTCCAAGTGAGTTCTGTGGATTCAACGTCCACAACAGTTTCACACTTTAGCTAACTTTATACAATATTAATTTTATTAAGACAATATCTTCTTACAAACCTCTATTTTTTTAATCTGAATTTCTTGGTTTCAGCCATGTATACAATCTGTGGAATCTAATACAGGTTTAGACAAATCATGTCAAAATTTATTGGTAGGTGATCTATTAGTGGCTATTGAAAATCATTCTGTATTGAATTGTAAACCAAATGAAATTGAAGAATTACTTCGATTAGCAGCTAAGAATAATAATGGTTTTGTCACATTGACTGTTCGTAGGATACATTCATCAAATAAAACTGAAGACATGAAAATATCAGGTAAAGTTAGTTGCATTTTGGTGTAATTTTCTAAAATTTTTGATTGCGTTTGTTTAACATCATTATTGTGATAAACCACTATGGATTATATTCTATATAGCGACAATATCAGTGTATCTACCTAGTAGGAACTAATGTAATGGTGCAATAATCTTAGTGTTAATTCTTTTTCTCCCCTTCTCTCCTTTCATGCATATTGATTTATACTACTCATTAATACTCAGTAAACAATCTTACCCTTGACAATTTCTGTGCTATATGACGCGTATTATATTGTTGTGTAATATGATAAAATATTTACATAAACTGATAGCGTCTATTGCATTTTTTTATTATTATTAATATCTTTATTATCATTATATTATTTCCCTTTTTTCAAATACTCTAATAGTTATTGCGTGTTTTATGCATAACCTGAATTGTTGTTTAAGCGCTATAAGTTCCATGTTTGTTCGCTCCTAGTTCCTGTTCAGCTGTTGATCAACGCTTGTTAACACTAGACACATATATCAGCTGTCACTTACACTATCGAACGTTACGACTATTCTCTATTTTACTGATATAACAAACCCTTTACCTTAGAGACATTCGAACGCGTTAAACACCTTAAACACCTCACGAAATGCAATTTCTACCCAATCACTGCTTATTCATCAATAACAAAACCATACCTTTGACAAATCATTGGTTTTCCTTAAATTCAATTTAGAGCGTATCTCAATAGTGTTTCTAGATTCTTCAGTGGACTGAACATTCATCATGTCTTATTTAACTGCTTTGAAACATGCTGTATGAGCAAGGGCAATTAATGCTTCTGGTCTCTTTGAACGCAAGTGACTGAAGTAAAGTTTATGCCCACGAACCACTGGTTCAGAACTGACTGCTGACCGTTTGAAAGTCTCGCATAAATTCTTTTAATAACTGCAGAAACCAGATTGAAAAACTAAGAATATCTTAGTGCCACTTAATTTTTCAAGAGAATATGTTTAATTCCATCTAATAATTGATGCTGTGTTTTTATCCTTTTATCCTTCTTTATTATTTGTGTTTTGTATAACACTGATGACTAGAAATAAACAAATTTTGATGAATGAACTATTTGTATTCATGATTAGAATGAGTCCAAATTTCTCCTCTAAGTGAATAGAATTTAACAATACCCATTCAATCTACTTATGAAGATATAAGTAGTATTTCTTACTATACTAAATATTAAACCGAGTTTTGGAGGTACATATCTAATGATAAAGAATTTTCTTTGAATGATAAATAATGTTCACTAAAATTATTAGAAATATTCTCTTGATAACACTTTATAATACTTTTCTTTTGCTTGAATATAAGATATCATACTGAAATATAACCAATTTTGTAAGCTCACATAGATAAATATATCCGTTTATAGGTAAATTAGCATCAATCGTTAACAAACAATGATATTCAATGTATTAAGACTTAGTGCATAGAATTATTGCTGGTTCTTGTTCATATGATTATCTTCAGCTAATAATATGGTTTTTTAAGCTGCACTGAAAGTCGTGTTAGTAGTATAACACATCGAACTAAATTACTGACAACATTTTCGTTCAGTTTAATATGATATTCAATACTTGTCATGGACAAGTGATGGAAACAATGGACTTCAGAGATATTTCTCGACTAGAACTCATCATTTCTGTATAAGAACGAGATTTACTTGTTAGTTCTGTATAAGCCTGTAAGAAATTCCAGATCGGTTCTATGAAACCGGAAAATCTATAATCTTTTAATGTAACATAATAAATAAGTGCCTCCTAGGAAGGAATGAATATGGAACACGGCACACGCTTCATAAGATTGTTTACTTTTTGAATCTGAATAAAAACCATTAGTAAAAACAGTTTGAGGGGCAATAAAATATATTTATTTTACTTCGAAGACAACTTTTAAAATAATGAATGCTAGTTCTTAGAAAAGAAAGATAGTTAAAAGTACACCAGACTGAGAAATTCATACAGCATAAGGGGAGTTATACAAAACTTTGATACCAACATACCAGAATGTCTGAGTCATTTTGAATTAATTTTCAAAATAAGAACAGCAAAATATTATCGTAAATAAATTTTTGAAAACCAAAATCCACCGAAATCAGTTAACTATTGTCACAAGTAACAGTCGAAACAACAGTAAGCCAAATGGTTGGAGAATGACTGTTTAGTTTATTTATTATCAATCAAGAAATCTCTATTACATAAATGACTATGTTAAATTAGTTAAGTTCAAAATCTATGGCTTGCTGGCAGTATTCATTGAAGGCAACTATTAAGAGTAAACTTTGTTATAAAATTTTATCTTGAAACGAATATATCTCTCAGAATGATAATAAACATTTTTCTTAATACATCTTTCAAACTAATATACTCAGACAATTGATAGCCATTCAAAGTCAAAAGAAACAGATCTCTGTTCACTTTGATCTACTCCACGAAGTGTCTTCAAAGGAGAAAGTCGATGTTGGGTGCAGCTTCTAACACTGGAATAATTCCATATAAAATCTAGTAATTTTTTTCAATTCAAATCAAACACACTACTACTTGTATTTAATCTATGCATTCTGAGTGCAGGATTTATTTTCATTAATTGTGAATAACTATAATATATAAAATAATTCTTTATAAGAAAATATTCCCATTCTTAGATTTAAATGTAAGAATGATATCCTATGATAAATAATCATTAACAAATGCATTTCGTATAAGATAATGTTTGCCCTCACATACATTTTACGACTTTTAAAACAATTTTAATTTTCAATGTCAATTGTTTCTTCGATTTTAGATTCTTTATTTATGTTTGATTGATTTCAGAGATACCGATAAAAGATACAGACAGTTCAAATATAATCAATGTAAAGTTGTCAAAAGAAAAAGATGAAGGTTTTGGTTTTGTGATTGTCAGTTCTTTGAATAAAGAAAAAGCAAGTGAAATAGGTGAGTATATACATGAAGAACAATGACAATATTGTAACTAATAAAAAATAGAAATTAGTTAGGTAGATATGAATTAACAAGAATGAACCAAAGAGATTCTCAAATAAAACAAATATTAATCATTTGAAATGTGATTCAGTCAGTCAGTCAGTTATAACGCAGAAATTCCTACTTGCGTACATCAGTTCAAGTTGCCATACCACATTAGCACAGAGATATAACTTTAAATTCAAATCCCATAGTAGCAGAGGTAGTGAAAGCATTAGAAGTAGTTGGAGAGATTAGGGTTCGAAGATATTATTCAAGAATTAGAATCTAGTGAAATAAACTTAAAAAGAAAAAGATAAAGGTGATGAGGAACTCTAAAGGTTAGGATTTGAGAGAACAAAAAGAATGAATGTACCTGCGCCATTGCAAAAGGTTTTCAGCCATGTCATTCAGGGTCTCTAACCATCGATTATTATCATCTTACATGCCCCAACTGGGTAGTCTGTACCTATCGATAAGACTTAGTCCACGTGTCAGTGACTTCACGGATTTGTGCCATGTTTTGGTTTGGCCGACCCTAACTTTCTTCTAAGCCATTCCTACATCGTAAAATATAGTTCGACAAGGCAGTCGGTAGTTAGGCATGCGCAACACAGGTATAATCACCCCAATTGATGAAGAAGTTTCAATATTTCATTTATTGATCTGCTATTCTTACCTAGCACCCGTTTCCAAACAGCAACATTGCTTACTCGGTTGTCCCACGATACACAAGTAATGCTTCGGAGACACCTATGATCAAAAGCAAGCAACCTGCGAATATCTTCTACTCTCACTGGACATGTTTCGCAGCCATAAAGTAGGACGGAGCGAACTACTGCGCAGTACACTCGTCCTTTAGTCGGCAAACGGATATCTCGCCTACGCCATAAGTGAAGCATGCTGGCAAAAGCCAAGTCATGATTCTGACTGGATATTTTTCATGCCGCTACTAGATTTAGCGTGGTTTTCAAACTTTCTAGAAGCCAAGAATTATGAGTAACTCTGTAAATACCCTCTTTTTCCTGTACAAATACTAACGCTGGAGTGAAGCATTCATCTCATACTTCGCGCCTTTTCTCTTGTGTTCAAGTTGCAGTGTAGATTTAGTCTGGGGTTATTAGAAACTCATAACAATCTTGCGTTCATCTAGCAGACTTATTAATATTCTCTTATTTATACTAACAATAGTAGAAATGTAGAAAATGTTTTTTTTAATTTCTAGGAATGGCTGACTTTTACAGCCAATATTTTATTTTCAGTGACTTTTATAGGTATTTTATTTTTAGGCAAACTTAAATGATTACCGAAATCAAAATTGATTCTATCCACAATCAAAATATTTCTCTATTTTGTTTTTGCTAAAAGGTCGTATAATTCCAGGTAGCCCAGCGGATAAATGTGGAAAATTAGAAGTTGGACAACGTATATTGGGTATAAATGGTTATTGGTTACAAGGACTTAATCATATGGATATTGTCAATCTTATACGTCAAAGTCAACAACAATTAATTTTAACAATTGAGAAAATTGGTAAATCAAATGTTGTAAATAAAACTTGAATGTAACATTTTTTTGCCTCAAGAAACAAAACGAACTTGATGAATTCCTAAGTATTTCTCATTATCGAATACTAGCTATAACTATAGGGCAATTACTCTCTATGTGTAATCAAAAACTACCGCCTAATGTTTGTATTATTACGAATTGTATTACTTTTTTCTTACCAATCTAAGCAATATACATCATTACTTACTTACTTACTTTTGCCTGTTACCCCCAATGGAGCATAGGCCGCCCACCAGTTTTCTCCAACCAACTCTGTCCTGGGCTTCTCTCTCCAGTTCTGTCCAATGTTTGTTCATTCCTCTCATATCTTTCTCTATTTCTCGGCGTAGTGTGTTCCTTGGCCTTCCTCTTTTCCTTTTGCCTTGAGGGTTCCATGTGAGGGCTTGTCTAGTGACGCAGTTGAGTGCTTTTCGTAGTGTATGTCCTATCCATTTCCACCGCTTCTTCCTGATTTCCTCCTCCATTGGAATCTGACTTGTTCTCTCCCACAGTTCGTTGTTGCTGATGGTGTCTGGCCAACGAATACGAAGTATTTTGCGTAGACAACTGTTAATAAACACTTGTATCTTCTGGATGATGGCTTTGGTAGTTCTCCATGTTTCCGCTCCATACAGTAGAACTGTCTTGACATTTGTATTGAAGATCCTGATTTTGGTTTTGGTTGAAAGTTGTTTGGAGTTCCAGATATTTTTCAAATGTAGAAATGCAGCCCTTGCTTTGCCAATCCGCGCCCTCACATCTGCGTCCGATCCACCTTTCTCGTCGATGATGCTGCCAAGATATGTGAAGGTGTTAACGTCCTCCAAGGTATCTCCATCAAGCGTGATTCGGTTGGTGCATGTTGTGTTGCATCGGAGAATTTTGCTTTTTCCTGTATGTATGTTGAGACCTACTGCTGCAGAGGCTGCTGCTACACTGGTCGTCTTCTCTTGCATTTGTTGTTGAGTGTGCGATAGAAGAGCCAGGTCATCTGCGAAGTCCAGATCGTCCAGCTGCGTCCTAACTGTCCAGTTGATACCGTGCTTCCCTCCAGATGTTGACGTCTTCATAATCCAGTCGATGACCAGGAGAAAGAGAAAGGGTGAGAGTAAGCAACCTTGCCTGACACCGGTCTTCACCTCAAAAGAGTCTGTCAGCTGACCTCCGTGTACGATTTTGCAGTTGAATCCATCATAAGAATTCCGTATGATGTTGACTATTTAATATACATCATACATAATACTAAAGGATTGAAATTAAGTAAATGTAAGTTCGAGTTCAGTTTCAGCGGACAAATGATCGTTTATCTACCGTGGAGTTGTCAAATTTTGAAGTAACAGTTCATAACTACTTTGAAGAAAAAAGTTTAAATCGTACAGACAACAATCACTGAAATACGAATCATCACAATTCCTTTACAGAAGCTATTTAGTCATGAATCTGAGAACATTTATATTAATGAAGAAAAATGACTTTCCAAACTCAAATATTTGGGAAAACTAATAGCTGAAGGTATTTAAACAGACAACTGATAAATAACCACCTATGTTTAAAATGTTTTATCGTTTTTTTTTATTCCGTGTACGATTGTTCTGACTTTATAATAATTGAAATTCAAAACAATTCAAATAGTAAATAGTAATAGCCAAGTCATCATTACTCTATTACATGCACAAAAAAAATGTGTTTGTGTTTTTTACACACTGTTGTTTATATTGCTATAGTTAGTCTATATAATATCTGTATTAAAAAGTAATGATACCACAAAAGAATCAACAGACAATTTGTTTGAATTATTCTGGTGTGGGGATAATTCGACATTTTGGCATTCTTTGTGGATTCTATGTCTATATTAGCTATTATAGTAGTGAAGCACCAACGTAATTGATGCAAGTGACACTATGTTCTAGTCCTGGAGTGAGTATCAACTCTGAAATACAAGAGTATCCAGATGATGAGTCTTGAATAATACGAAATGCACAATTTCGATTGTATTGCTAACCATATCCTAAATTGATAGATAATAAATTTGACATGCATATTTTAGAATTATTTAATAAGTGAGAAAAACAAATTGCCAACATGTAGCATTATGAAAATATGCATAAATGTTATGATGATGTTATGTAACATTCTAAAATTGCATGTTTTGTTAAATTTACAGATTCTTTGTCTGGAGAACAACATCATAGCCGTATTGATAGTTTAGATACAGATGAAAAGTTTATTCCACTAGTCACTTCTACAATGTTATGCTCTAATGAAACTGTATGTTTTCGTTCCATGAATGGTTCAAAAAGTTCAGAAGTAAGTTCGCGCGCATATTTGTCAGAAAACTATTCAATAATCAATGTATTATATAACAATTCATACAATAATAAAACCGATTCCTGTTAAAATAACAATCCTAATCATTCTGGTCGACAAAGTAACAAAATGATCAAATAAGGACTGATAGTTTGGTGTTGTTCTTTGATGTTGACAGGTTAAATCTAGCATTAGTTAATCGAAAATTCAAGGTCATTCTTATGATTAATATAAATTGTTTTTTAAAACTATTGTAATATTGCTTCATAATCTTATTTTTAACCAGAATATCAGTTTCACTATAATCAAACAAAATAAATGAATTAACTAGGTAAATAATTATAGAAAATTATTTAGATAATCAGTGGGAGCTGAAATTGCTATATGATAAAAATCCTCGATTTTTCTAGATGACTAACTCAATCCACTTTAAAGATAAATAATAAACTGTCAAATAAAAACTACCATATCAAGTATCTCTGTCTTAACCTCAACTAAAATGAAACAAGACACAAAGAAAAAGTGTACAAAGGTATTGGTTGGGATGATAGATCCACAGTAACCACTTGGTAAACCTCCTAATTTTTTTTCCAATTATCTACGAAATTTCGAGTATCTCACGTTCGCACCAAAAGCGCTTCTTATCATCTTGATTGTGCTTCCAACTTGGAAAGACTGGTTGGTTTTCTCTTTCGGCTTGCTACTTCGTAACTCTTCCAAGGACGCTTCTTGTATCGTATATATCACGTTTGAATTGAATATATGATAATTTTTTCGCTTGAGGCTTTTTGCGGAATACACATTTTTCCTACTGACTTTGGACTTCTTTTTATTGTCAGCGGGTTTGGGTCACAGGAAATAGCTTTAGCTGTACTGTTATTGTGTCATTGGTTTACGTTGCGTTCACTGATATTAAGTCATATCTTAATTAGCGCATGCATAACATGTATGTTGGCTTGCTTAACCGCTAAAGATAACGGTTTTACAGTGGTTATTTATACGCTTACAAAGCAGAGATCAAAGAATAAATCAAACTCTATAAATCTAAATCCACATGGATGATTGAAGGATCACAGTACGATATGCACACTACCTGATTTTTGATAAATCAAATTAGAGATGTAATGAAAGCATTGGACTTGTCAATATAATTCAAAATACAAGCTCCACGTAAGTTTTCGAATGAACTAACTACAATTTCCTTACAAACTGACTAACGATTAAGTTTGTGAGTAATTCAACAACATATTTTTTCCATTTTATTTTAAATTAGCTCCTGGATGAAAACGAGACTGTAAAGTCAAGTTTCAATAATACTTCCACCAAAAGTCCATTTTCAATTACATTACAACGCGGTCCAAATGGTTTCGGTTTCTCCGTCCGCAGTGGATTCAACTCGAGCACATCTCCTTTAACTGTTTATCGAATAGCTGAAAATGGACCAGCTTTTCAACAAGGACAAATGAAAGTGAGTTGTGTGATAATGCCAAAATTTTTTAATGCTTTAAAAAATTAATTACACAGAATACTCAAAAGATCGAGCACCACTGAGACAGCTGTTTAGTCCGGTTTACGTAAGCCTCCAAGTAATATGAATGAAACTTTCGCAAGTTCAAGTTGAGTATGTTAGGAAGTTAACTACTCACTCCAGTTTAACCTAACGACTATAAGTGACTTCTGTTACAGTAATATCTATATAAAGACAGAGATAAAGAAAGAGAGCGGTATTTCCATGCAACCACTGAATGATGACCTAGTAAATATACGTTAGGATATTCATCCAATATCCTAAGAGAATTATTGGTCTATTCCTAGTGGTTAATTCCTACTGGTCAATTTGGTGGTCGTCCTAGGTATCATTGTCACGTACTCCAATGTTGTTTCTTATTGGTTGTCTTGACTATCAATTTCACTTCAAATGTTGCTTCCTGTTGGTCGTCTTAACTGTCAATCTCACAGAATTCGATGCTGTTTCCTATTCGACCAAAATGTATAAATACGCATTATCTGTAACGTTTTATGACCACGACCAGGACCAGGGCTCGGTCCCGTATCCCTAGTCCAGGATCCTGATTCTCTTCCGGATTCGGACCTCGTACTTTCTGGATGCTTGTAGAATACAGGTTCTATTTCATATCACGTCTTCTTATTTTTACTAAATATGGGGGTTGGGATAATCGGATTTGAGTAGCATGTCGTGTCGCCGGATCCTCGATCCTTGTTCTTGTTTTCTGACTAGGTAAACTCGCAATAGTTCAAGCATATCAGGTTGACGTGTTTACGTGCAGGCGTGACAATATATATTCATGAAAATGAGAACGTCCATTGTAGTATATAAGATATTCATTACTTTTTGTATTATACTACCTATTTTTAATATCCTTACCATTTAGGTTGGAGATGAAATCCTCGAGATTAATGGAATCAGTACATTTACAATGACACACCAACAAGCTGTCACAATGATTCGATCAAGTGGACCAACATTAAGAATTCTGTTACAACATTTCAATGAAGATCAATGTGAAAATTATTTCTAAGATAAAAATAACAATAATAATAATAATTATGAAAATAACAGAATTTTTGTATAAAATGCATGAAGACAGAGACAGACAATGCGAAATTTTAATTTAGCATGAAGGAAACAGATATTTGAATTTGTACAGTGAAACAAATTTTACAATTTATATTAAATAATCAAATATGCAATTCTTCCTTGTCTAATTCAGTTTAAAAATCTGTGGAGATTAGTTGAAATTGTGAATGAATTTTGTCATCAGAAATGGATATCAGTTGAGGAACTATTGAAAACTGGAAACTATTAGACAATTGTTTCATCCCAGTATACGACTGACTATTTAACAGTGCATATTCACAACTCCATTAAGGATAGAATCTTCCATAATATGAGATGGTGGCTAAGGGTAATCAGTAGTAAGTCAGTCAGTCAGATGCAACGTAGAACTTTGTACATAAGTACATCAGTTCATGTTGCCATACCACATCAGCACAGAGAAGTAATCGTCAATTCAAATCCAATAGTAGAAGAGGTAGTAAGGGAATTAGAAATAATCGGAGAGGTTAGGATTAGAAGATACTACTCAAGAAGTATGATTAAGTGAGGAAAGTTTAGAGAGTCGAAACTAGAGGGGTTGAAGAATCCAGAAGATTAGCATTTGAGAGAACACAGAGAATAAATGCACTGGCGCCATTGCGAACGATTTTGAGCCATGTCATTCAAGGTCTCTAACCATCGATTATTATCATCTCGCGGACCCCAACCAGGTAGTCGACAATTACCGACATGGCTAAGTCCACTTGTCAGTGACTTCATGGATTTCTGCCATGTTTTGGTTTGGCCGCCCCTAACTTTCTTCCAACCTATTCCCACACTACAAAACAAGGCTCGACGAGGCAGCCGGTGGTTTGGCATACGCAACACATGTCCCAACCACCTCAACTGATGAAGTTTCAATACTTCATCGATTGATCTGCCATTCTTACCTAGCACCCGATTCCTAATAACAGCGTTGCTCACTCGGGTGTCCCACGATATACGAGCAATGCTTCGAAGACATCGATGATCGAAAACCAGTAACCTACGAATATCTTCTACTCTCACTGGCCATGTTTCACAGCCATAAAGTAAGACGGAGCGAACTACTGCGCAGTACACTCGTCCTTTAGTCAGCAAACGGATATCTCGCCTACGCCATAAGTGACGCAGGTTGGCAAAAGCCAATCGAGCCTTCTGTATCCGTGCTGAGATTTCGTCAGTCACCAGGCCATCGGCACTGATGAGACTCCCAAGATAAGTGAATCGGTCTACACGTTCGACTACTTCACTCCCTATCACTAGTTCAGGTGCCGATGCAACCCAATCTTGAAGCAACATTTTGCATTTCGAGGGGGAAAACCGCATCCCGAACATGTTTGCATTGTTGCTTAGGGTAGTCAGAAGACTCTGCATTTTGTCAGCGTCTTCACCAAGTAGGACAATGTCATCGGCATATTCTAAGTCAATAAGCGAGCCACCTGGAAGAAGGTCTACTCCTGAAAATTCAGACGAGGATAATGTTAACTCTAGGAGCATGTCTATGATAAAATTAAACAAGAATGGAGAAAGTGGACATCCCTGACGGACACCACTTGAAGTGAAGAATTTCGGTGACAGTTCGCCATAAGCCCTCACCCGACCAGTGGTGTTCGAGTAAAGAGCTTGTATAAGGTTAATGTACTTCTGTGGTACACCTTTCAATGACAGACACTGCCACAGAACCTTACGATCAACAGAGTCAAATGCCGCCTTAAGGTCTAGGAAAACAACTATTGTAGGACGCCTAAATGTGTGTCTATGTTCCAGGACCTGTCTGAGTGTGAAGACGTGGTCTATACAACCACGTCCAGGTCGAAAACCAGCCTGGTTTTCTCGAGTCTGCTCTTCACGAGCTTTCGTTAAGCGTCGAAGTATTATTCAGGCCAATATTTTAGATACTATATTAGTTAGACTTATTCCTCTGTGATTGTCACAAGAAGACTTTTGTCCTTTCTTATAGATTGGGACAATCAAGGATTGAGACCAGTCGGATGGGATTACGTCCAGTTCCCAGATTTTACCTAAGATCTCAGTCAATCTAGCTGCTAAAACTGGACCACCATCCTTAAATATCTCAGGAGTCACTCTATCAGGACCTGCAGCTCGTCCTCGTTTCAGATTTCCTAACGCTTTCTCAACGTCATTAAGACTAGGGGGACTTACGTCGATTTGCCATTCAGGATGACTGGAGATCGTGGGTAACTGAAGAGTGGCTCGTGGCCAGTTGAACTGATCCCTAAAGTGTTCTGCCCATCGATCCAGTCTCCTGGATTGAGAATGGATAATAAGACCATCCTTTTCCGAGATAGTCTCACTTACATTCGGGTTCCTAATACCGGTTTCTTTGATAAGGCGGAAAAGTTGTCTAGTGTTGCCTATCGCCGCTGCCTTTTCCATCGCTTTTGCTTTCGCCACCCACCACTGTTCGCGGTCGTTACGCAGACTTTTTATAAGTCTGCGCCTAAGCTGACTACGCTCTTCATCATGCTCAGAGTCAGGTGGGATGCGTTTTCGAGCATCCATCAGTTCGGTGGATGCGACTGAAATCCACGGCTTCATCCTAGCCTCATGGTTTACCTTCCTAGCAGATATCACTGCTGTTTCCACAGCCTTTTTGATATCATACCAACCTGCTTCTGGATGGGAATCGCTTGCATGGTTGCTTAACTCTGTTTCTAGTTGCTCCTGAAATATTTTCTTGGTTTGATTATCATTAAGTAAAACCCTAAGAGGCTTGCTTACGGTGTCTTTCCTACGTCCAGTAAGCCTTAAACAGATACGAGCTCGCACTAGAGCATGATCTGAATCCAAACATGTGCTCCAGAACGAGCGACAGTCTTCTATCGAACCCCTCCATCGGTGGCTGATGGCGATGTGATCTAGTTGAGTCCAACGGTGAGACGACTTTGGAGGTCGCCAGGTCAACAGATGCTTTTCCTTATGCCTTAAGTTGGTGTTCGCTAAGAATAGGCGGTTATCTGAGCACAGTTGCAACAGACGGTCGCCATTATCTGTTCTCTCAGTCGCTACACCATAACATCCACCTAGGTGTCTCTCCTGCTCACTTAGTCTACCTACTTGAGCATTAAAGTCACCAGCCATTATTACTATGTCAGAGCGCCTAGCTTTTTGGAGGAGGTCCGAAAGCTTTCTGTAAAACTCATCTTTAACCTCGTCTGCACTGCAGTCAGTGGGGGCATAGGCAGATATGACGAAGAGGCAACGGCGAGTGTCCCTATCTTTCCGAGTCCTTACTGTCCCGTTTAGTCGGACAGCGCACAAACGACTATCTACTGGGATCCAGTCTAGGAGAGATAATTCTGCACTAGGACTCAACGCTATGCCTACGCCAGCAAGACCCCTGGAAGCAGCATCAGGGCTACCGGATACCCGAAGAGTAAATCGAGCTGCTTCTTCGTTTTGACAAGGTGGAATCAGGTTAATGACTTTACTAGGATCCTGTATGCGCGTTTCCGAGACGCAGCATACATCGATGGCACGAGTTTCTAAAGTCCTAGCTAATGATGCCTGTTGCCCTATTTGACACAATGTCCGTACATTAAAGGCTCCAATATGTAGTCTAGAACGGGGTTTCAAGAGACCAGGAACGACGTTTCGTGATCTCGCTTCGTCTGCATTAGCGGTGCAGTGAGAAAAGGGAGTGTGAGTAGAGTTAGTTGTAGAGAGAAGAGAGGTATGCTTTGGTGTAGGAAGGATTTGATTTTGACCAATTTGGTCTCGCGTGCTGTTACGGGTATGAGGGCGGTTGTCACTTCCCGGCTGCCCACACCGTGGAAGGTTGTTTCTTGAGGGACCTGAAAAGGAAGATGGATTAGTGTTGGTGCGTGACCACAGAGTCCAAGGGACAACTGCTTGAGGCCGGTCACGCACGGCCTTTTTATGAAACGTTTTTTGAGGATTAGCTCCGTTCTTAAAGACCCTTACCCGAGGAGACGGAAATCCGTGAGGTAGGGGAGGTGTGACATTTTTAGGGCCGACCTTTTCTAACCATTTCTTCCTTGTGAGAAGGCAGCATCGCTGCAGATGCTGGTTGTCCGAGGGAAACACCTTACTGCTGTCACACCCCTTCTGCAGTCAGCAGTACGACTTCGCCCTCAGACCTTGGGTAGCTGCTTTTAGTCTCATCGTTCTCCAATCGACCAGCCTGGCATGGTAGGACCTGCAAGAACATGTTTTCCAGCCAGTATAGCTCGGTTGGGTCATCACGATAGGCAAACCCGACCACCACGTCAAGGTAGCAGCTTCGGTCGGGAATCAGTAGTAAACCCTGAACCTAGGCCTATGACTACAGGTGACACAGGATAGAATCTGATAGGGAGCATCAATTCTCTCAAGACTACAGGTAGACCTTGCTGACAAGTATCAAATAACACGAAAGCAAATCCTAGGGTTTCCTGCCGACTATCACCAACCTAGATCAGTGGCAACTTGGTCGACCGAATTCGATCAGCTAACCTATATGACATTGGTCACTACCCAGTGACCGATCAACTGCAAATCTTTGATAATCCTATGAAATAATTTTGATGAATTGTCGAAAACAATGCCATTCAGTTTACCGAAAACGTTAACAATTAAGCAAGGATACAGAAGTATAAACAATAATTATGAACAATCAATTGCATGAAATATATAAGAACCAGTCATATATTGATGGATGATAGTATAACAACGTTTAAACAACCCTTAAGATTAATAAGCTTGATAGTCAGATGACTAAATACTAATAACTAGATTCAGGTTTTTTCTGTAGTGCTATCTGTCATTGATCGATTTATGATTGCAATGAAACTCAACAATTGCCACAACCTTACAATGATAAGACATTGGATACTGGTTGTATAATAATTCACCCTAGTTATTTTAATGCTCCTGAGGCCCAGTGAGATATTGGATAGTAGTAAATGTGATTAAAATTCTTCATAACTAGATATGATAGTAAATTCATTGTGTTTTCTCTCTCTTGAATAAAGTTTGTGCGCAAATTGCTTTTGAGTTCTTGCTTGTTGTTGATAATTAGATTTGTGTGCGTTGTATTCCGATTTATTTGAGGTTTCAGTTAACGTGTCACCTTTTGTAATTAATACATCCAGGAATGAAAAATCGTGGTTTGACTCCTTTTCTATTGTGAATTTTATGTCATCAAAGACATGACTGATCAGATTATAGGTGTTCTTCTGATCGTTACTTTCGATAATGATGAATGTGTCGTCTACGTAACGAACCTACATTTATGAGTTGATCACTAGTGAAATCAAGGCTCCTCAGTTTCCACACCACTGCTTCTGCAATAAGTCATTATTGAATAGCTATGAAACAATTAACACAATGGAATTTTACCCAATCACTTGTATTGATAAAATCCCCAACCCATCACTTTTCCTTTAAAACAACTTTGCCGCTGTTTTATGACCGATAAATTTTACAAATCAGAAATTCAATACATTCACACAATTCATTATTTTATATTTATAAATACATACTATTAATTTTTTTTACGACACTTAGAAATATAATCTAATTCGAAAATAAGCAGTTTTCTTTATTAGCAAAAGATTCATTCTCTTTTACACATAAAAAAAAGCAGAATAGAAACTGACACTACACATTAAAAAAATTAAAGGAATAAGTAAAAACAAAGAAGACGAATAAAAAAAAACGAATAATTGAAACACAAACCTAAAAATTGAGTTTGTATTTACACATATCCCCCCCTGGACATTGCATAACAAACAATAAAGAGCGACTAATTAGATATGAATTATTTTCATACAAATAAAAAAAAAGAAAACGATTTATTCATTTTTTTAAAAATCCTAATCGAAAACAAAGCTCTGCCCCCAGATTTTTTTTTTGATCGTCATTCCAATAGTTTACAATTTAACGGTGGTCTCGAAATAGAACAAGGGGCAAAAACGCTATAAACTGTACACCATAGAATCCTTAAGTAATGATAGCAGTACTAATCAAGAAGAAGAAGAAGAAATAATCATTCCAATTGGACAAATATACATTTGAATGTGTATGATATAAAAACCGAGAGAGAATTGTTGTCTATTGTTCAAAGATGATAGGTAAGTTTATGAAGAGAGAGAAAAAATGCAGTGTGTTACACATAGTTGAATGACTGAGTTCAAATTTGAATATACAAACTTTTTTTAATTTTAAAAAAACCAAAACTAATCTTATCCAATAATACATTAATTGATAGGGAGATATTTAGAAAAAATTAAGTTAAATAAATAGATTTCTTTTTTGTATTCTTAGAAAAAAACAGAAGTAGAAACGGTACATGTTAAATTCTAGAAATAGATTGAATAAATTAAGATCAATTACAAATGAAAAGAGAGAGAGATTTTACAATTGAATAGTGCTTGCCTAATCAGTAGTAGTAGTAGTAGTTGACGTCTGTATGTGATGATTAATTTACAATAAATAGAAATTTGTGAAAGGTAAAAAAAAAATAAGGGTGAGAAAAAAAAAACAGATTGACATTCACATTCATGTTATGATGACATAAAGTTACAGTGAGTTGATTATTTACAAGAATAAGAGACAATTCAAACGAAAAATTGATTTATGAATTAAGTAGAAGGTAATTTTTTACTAGGACTAAGATTTTGTTGTTCTTGAAATAGCCATACTTCATGAACAGCTTTTTTATGTTTATCTAAACGTGATTCCGAAGCAAGTAATAATCCACATATATGACAACCATAACCTAAATTAGGCACGGATAATACACTTGGCCAATATTGACTACGATTTGTATGATGATTATGATGATGATTATGATTATGACTGGTACTAGTTGATTTTAATGTTAATAAATGTTTTAATAATTTTTCAGTTGAGTCAAACAATGGTGAATTATATGAACAACCGGGACAAGCAATAGATTGGGTTGACATATTATTATTATTATTATTACTATTATTATTATTATTATTAGACAATTGATTTTTATGAATTAATAATTTATTATTATTATTATTATTGGGATGCATTAGAGTTTGGTGAACTTTTACACCAGTTCTTGATCGAAATTCACGATTGCATTGTTCACAAATCACAGAATTTTGAATTTGTGATGTATTATTTGTTGATAAAATAGATTTTTGTTGATTTAATCGATCTGGCCGAGATGAACAACGTGCACGATGTATTTGAAGATAGCGTAAACACTTAAATCCAGAACGATTACACCATGAACAACTGAACACATTGGAAGATAATGAGGATTTATGATTATAATCAAATGCTGGAATAGTTGTTGCATTTGAAATGACAGATTTAACATCATCAATTAGAGTATTATCACTTAAAGACTGTGTAGACACTGATGATCGACGACTACTATAAGGAAGAAAAAGTTTTACAGAAAATCACTAATCAGTTGTAATATTAATTGAAATGTCTTTTAAAAAATGCATTCATTTGATAAAATAAAATGAGTTTTAATGAGTAAAAAAAATGTTTAATAGTACATGACAAGTGTTATAATTTACTATCAAGTGTATCATGCTTTATAATATTTACATAAAGATTTAATTCTATTACATAAATCAGATGGCAATTTTATTGGAAACAATGTGAAATTGACTAAACAATATTGAGATAGAGGAGCAAATTTGTAGTTTGAATACATGATTACTGTGGAATTTCGTTCTCTGATCTGGTTTGGTCCATCATGACAACATTAGTAGGATAGTATAGTTAGAGCTGAGAACACTGAAATACTGAATATCAACATTTAATGCAAACAGGATTGTGTATTAATGAAAAATTCAGGATAATTTCTTGAAAGCAGATAAGATCTTGAGTTTCAATAATAAATTCACTTCTTGATGTTTAGTCAATTCTGATAAGATATACCTACTTAACGTAAACAAGATTAAGCCGAGTGCTTTCAGATATAACTGGGAGTTTATAAATTTCTAGTTGACCACAACATAGGAGGAGGTATTTGAGTGAGGTATTTGAAAACTATTCAGAGTAGTCATGATAATTTTGAAATCTAAAGGATAATTGGTCGAGGTTAATTACGCATGACTACATTCTTCTGAATATAACACCAATACCAGAAACTCTTCCAACTCTGTGTGAGAAGGCGATTTGGTGAGAAACTTACTACAGGAACTACACTCCAGCACAGTTGGTTTTACAACTTAAACCTCAAGCTACTAGTTCTAGCCTTACCCACTGCAAGCAACGTACCTGACAGAGGAGGACCTCAGAGAACACATAATTCAGACATAATAGACTGGCTAGGTTATTATAATAAGCTATCCTGACCAACACAGCAAGGCAGTAGCTAAATCCAAAACAATTTGTCGTATTCACATAACATCCTATCTTGTAATATAAAAAATACTTAAGCTTACCATTTGGATATTTCTTCTTCGATACGTGGATGACGAATGGAATATGGAGAAACGGATCTATTTTTTCTCCTATTTAACTTTGATGTATTAAATGCAGTTTCCGTATTCTGCATACTTTGATTAGATTGTACTGATAGTCTACGACTTCGTAGACTGAGGGAATAAGGCTTTTTAGTCGTCAGTACAGAAGAACTACTGGATGATGAATGAATTTCAGAAGTTTGTTTCATCTTCTGTAATTTGAAAGTAAAAAAAGGATAAAAATGAATTAATTAACATATATGATGGATGTATTATTAAAAGAAACTGGTAGTGTTTAAATGGTACTCCCTCAATAAATTGAAAAATGACGTTGATATTCATTGAAAATAGTTTCAATGTTTATGAAGTTGGAGAAAAAAAACAATAAAATCTCACTACTCATGATTTTTACCTTCTGGAAAAGTATAACAAATTCCTAGGATAAACAACAATTTTCAAGTGTTATACGATACATGACAACAATTGTAATCATTTTATTGAATAACAAACATTAAGTCATCATTAAAAAAAATTCTGAGCAAACAGCATTTCATTAATGCACAGCATACCGCCTGCACTCTACCGCTACTGATATCCATGATTCTTGTGAATATTCAAATAAATATATATATAAAAGATTTTTATTAACTTGCGAATACAACATTTCAATGCATAATATTTATTAGATGCATGAATTACAGAGCGACGGAATGTAGTCACATCGGAACAAATAATATTAAAAAATATATCAACAACCTCAAATAATTGGGATGACTTTTGTTTAATCTAGCAATGTAACAGGGTAGGAAGCTAATTCAAATCAGTAAACATTGATGTTCCTCCATCTAGATATAGATATAGAATTAAGTCAAAACAAAAGTGAGTAATAACAAATAATGCTACGTAATGCCGACAAACAATAAGGACAATCTTATCAGTATGGACGATACAGAATCAAGAAACAATACTTGCTAAGATTGAAGTATAGAAAATAGAGCAAGATATCACTCACAAATGTGAAAGAACAAACAACGCAAAAATGAACACAACAAAAGACTAAAGAGCCATCTCTGGAACAAAAGAACCTTCAGGAACTAAAAAAATCAAAGTTCGAAGGAATGTTTGCAGAGAAGCCCATGAAAACATTAGCTGAATCTCCTCACAAAAAAAAATACACAAAGAAAACTTGACTGTTCTTAATTGTTAACAAGCAAAAAAATTAGAAAAAAGAAACAGAAATAAACATCAAATATTAAATCATTTACTAAACTAAACAAAAAACATTCAAACAACAACAACAACAAGTACCTCAGCAACTACCTCGGCATTCTTCTCATTCTCAACAACACCAGAATCTAATGTCACCGATTCTACACTTTCTTTTGACGCCAAATCCGATAATATCGCATTCTTCATGCATCCACTATCATCCAAACACTCCTCTGATTCCTTCATAGGAGATTCGCTCTTCACACCATTCGCTGTTCTGTTACGAGTTCTAATCAGTTTCACCTAAAAACATTAACCGACAAAGTACTCAAATCAACGGGAAGACAAATAAACACACATCACAATATAATCACAAATATACCAACAAAATACTCATGATTAACATCCCGAAACACAAAACTATTCACCACTTACTCCTACCCTCCGTATTTCCTCCCCCTAACTCCTCACTCTTTCTCTCTCTCTCTCCCTCTCTCATACACACACCACCGTCAAACAACAATATTAACACAAACACCTCACAACCACCACCACCAAACATGAACAACATCAAACTAACTACTCCTCACCTACCTCATGATTCGTATTACGTGCATGACGTAAAAGTGACGCTCTATGACGATAACTCGATGAACACATGTTACATTTGAAAACAGATGCAGTCGGACTTGTACTCAAAACATCTTGTTCACTTGTTGTCGTCATTGCTGCTTTTGTTGGCGTCGTCGTTATCACTACTGCCGTTTCTGTCGTTACTCCTGGAGACTCCAGTTCACTCGTCGACCGAGACATCCAATTCTTCTGTTCCTCCTACACAAGTGAGGGAACAGCAGTCGTCATTACAAAAACAAACGTTTACACATTCTCCATACGTTATGTAATTCTCTAGTAACCAAACACACATATTCAAAACAAATACTCACTTCACGGGGACTATTCTGATGACATTCAGCTGAAATCGAACATTCGTCTGCGCAATCGTGTTGTGAGTCTTCTGAATTTATCAAAGACGTCACATTCTTGTCTAACGTAGAAAAACTAAGAGCGTCCAGTGATTCTTCACCTGAGTGCATTAACATTTCACCATTGTGTGTATCAGTATTCAAATGTCGGTGATTAACCTGAATACATGGCGAATAAATTATGAAAATTAAAATGGGTTAGACTTCATTGATAGGACCAGTAACTACCAGTCGTTTAACACAGGACACTAATTTTTAAGCCTCTGGAGTAGTCGGTCAACTTAACTATCTTTACAAGAGCTTCACCCAGAGTTACAAGCGCATTGGCAAATTACTGATCGAAGTACCACCAACACAAAGGAATATTTTACTGACACTAGACCTCTTGATACTGGTAAAATCCGTGTGCTAGATAAATTTTCAGACAGTTATCGACTGCAGCTACTGCATCAAAATGTCAGAGAAGGCTTACGAGAACCAAATGTTCGACAAGGGATGGAATGATCTTACTCATTTTCCAGATGTCCTTTAGGCAGAATCAATGGTTATAAACGCTGCCCAATGGATTTCAAGTAAGTTGTATTTATTTCATGCAGATTATAGCACAACCAGAATCCTGAGAGGGATATTTAAACGAGAGACGCTCCTGTACATTTTCATTTCACAACGTAACTGCAATATGATACATTCGAGCCAAGACTTGAGTCGCTGACGACTATGATTGTACTTCTGAATAAAAACAAGTGATAACCTGGCAATATCTCCAAACACTGGTCTCCATTACCAAAACTGTAAGTCACTATCAGCTACTAAAACAACTCTACTTTCGGCCTAGAAACCTGACTTATAATCTTCGGCGGCCTGTTTGAATATTTGGACTACCGGTTTCCTGACATCAGAAACCTTTCAACAAGTTACCTACTTCTGTTTGTTTCAACATGTCAATTATGTCTATTGATCGAATAATCTATTCAGGCACGTGTATAAAAGTTTACGACCAATCGCTCCACAAGGTACAAAGAAATACAATCCCAGACATTGCGTTGGCTGGCAATCTGTTGAGCAGAGAATGAACGTTAACAAAATGTCGACTCCTGAAACGATCACTTCCAACTACGAATCATTAATTGTTTCGTAAAGGAAACTTGATGAAATATTCAGTGCTGAGAATTCCATATTGTACTAAATACATCACATTCAATAACGTCAATATAAATATTATCATTATTATTACTAAACTCGTTATAATGATAATAACAATAATCACAAAAGTTGTTATTATCATTATTATTATTATTATTATTATTATTATTATTATTATTAGACATGCCTCATAATATACCTTATAATCTGTTAGGTTTATCGACACTGGTAAGCACTGAGTGTATTGCTTGAAATAAAAACATAAACTTAATTAATACCAGTTGTATAAAAGGTTATCAAGCCAGAAACATATTTGTTCAGGAGTCAAACATATGAATTGAGTTCATCAGTTTCTCGTGCCAATATCTCAAACTAGTGCTTCATCTTATCGACATGTGGAATTTGTTCATAAAAGTTTTGGAATATATTAGTGGTATACTTAAAGCTCCTGGTTATTGCACTTCTATCGCATCCAATTTTCACAACCTACAGAATACTTTTATAAAAACATTTCATCTGAAAAGAACAGTCTCCTGCACTTCCTATCCTAAAGTTATTATCGAGCCCTAACAACATCATCTAAGTGTTATCATCCTTGCATCCCACTCGAACTTGACTGATCCCGATTTTTATAACTATCAAGTTGGACGAATTAGCCGAAATTTCTATCGACTTTATTACCAGTTTGAGAGTATAACTTTAATCGCACCACTTACTGATAACGATTTGTTCATCAATTTAAATGGTAGTAGTTAATTAGTGAGATTTGACTAAGCTGATGTTTACCAACGGATAATGGTTTATGTCTGCATCGATAACTATCGACTACAAACAAGTGTTACGGGTTAATGTAATACGACAGACTACATTACCGTATAAGAACAGTTGATGAACGTAATTTTGGCAAGTACTTCAAATGCTGCCAACTAAATCTATGATATCTTCCTTGTTGCAAGTTCGCCAGAAAAATTATACACCCGAGACCAATTCATTCCAAACCATATACAAACCCATGAATTTCAACTTAGATTAAAAAAATCTGTCAACTTTGTATATGTTTAGCTAAGTACTTGAGTATTCGTCACCGATCTGAACGGAAGAAAATTAGAGTCATGGAAAAATGAGAACATTTCCGAAAATACCTTAAACCTGCTCTTGAGTTCATTTAGTGATTACTAGGTATTTTGAAAATCTATGAATAAGTACATTGTTAAACCAACATCTATTAGAACTGATCGACAAAGTGGCACAATATTATACAGAATTAAACGCTAATTTAAAGTACTATCTTATATTGGCAAAATACGATCCAAAAATATCGAAAGTTGTCTAAGGTAGTAGTGCATTTACTTATAGTGCAGGGGCAATGATTCTACTTAAACTCCTAAATACTGTACAGAGCCGACCACACGTACAATTAGACCGTCGTCTTTAATGGAAACTATACGAATCAATAGAAAAAACATTTCCGCTGCTTATCACACCACACTGATCTCATAAATTAAAATATGGGGAACGCTCCACTTTACTATCGAGGTGAAAACCAATATGAGCAGTTTTCAGGTCGTGATTCGGGATTTTAGAACATTTAACCAACTCTTTACGCTAACGTGGAACAGTCATTATGGAACACAACTCCAAAAAAACAATGTTCCACCATAGACTTCAGTAGTTCATACAAACTTTCCAGCAGTAATTAGCTTATCACAAATGAATATAGTTAGTATCGAGGTCTCCGAAGACCGTGCAAACCACAGCATCGATAGTGCAGTGTAAGGCACTCCCAGTAACAAAAATAACAGAATCAGAACGGTACACATAAAGATAATACACCACGAGTTATGCATCAAATTCAGCACAGTAGCAATTGGCGCATCAAAATTCTCCTAAATAGCTAGTTAAATGAGTTTTTTAAACCACAGGAAGCAGAACGACAATTTGTAGCGCTAACACAACGGTGATAACAATCACTGCTATAATCTTATGCAGAACGTGCATTTCCGGCTACAAAATAGACACAAAATCCAAACATCATTCACTACCTAACCGTTAGAATAGACCATCATCTAAATTCACAACAATAAATTAAATCATTTACTAAACTAAACAAAAAACATTCAAACAACAACAACAACAAGTACCTCAGCAACTACCTCGGCATTCTTCTCATTCTCAACAACACCAGAATCTAATGTCACCGATTCTACACTTTCTTTTGACGCCAAATCCGATAATATCGCATTCTTCATGCATCCACTATCATCCAAACACTCCTCTGATTCCTTCATAGGAGATTCGCTCTTCACACCATTCGCTGTTCTGTTACGAGTTCTAATCAGTTTCACCTAAAAACATTAACCGACAAAGTACTCAAATCAACGGGAAGACAAATAAACACACATCACAATATAATCACAAATATACCAACAAAATACTCATGATTAACATCCCGAAACACAAAACTATTCACCACTTACTCCTACCCTCCGTATTTCCTCCCCCTAACTCCTCACTCTTTCTCTCTCTCTCTCCCTCTCTCATACACACACCACCGTCAAACAACAATATTAACACAAACACCTCACAACCACCACCACCAAACATGAACAACATCAAACTAACTACTCCTCACCTACCTCATGATTCGTATTACGTGCATGACGTAAAAGTGACGCTCTATGACGATAACTCGATGAACACATGTTACATTTGAAAACAGATGCAGTCGGACTTGTACTCAAAACATCTTGTTCACTTGTTGTCGTCATTGCTGCTTTTGTTGGCGTCGTCGTTATCACTACTGCCGTTTCTGTCGTTACTCCTGGAGACTCCAGTTCACTCGTCGACCGAGACATCCAATTCTTCTGTTCCTCCTACACAAGTGAGGGAACAGCAGTCGTCATTACAAAAACAAACGTTTACACATTCTCCATACGTTATGTAATTCTCTAGTAACCAAACACACATATTCAAAACAAATACTCACTTCACGGGGACTATTCTGATGACATTCAGCTGAAATCGAACATTCGTCTGCGCAATCGTGTTGTGAGTCTTCTGAATTTATCAAAGACGTCACATTCTTGTCTAACGTAGAAAAACTAAGAGCGTCCAGTGATTCTTCACCTGAGTGCATTAACATTTCACCATTGTGTGTATCAGTATTCAAATGTCGGTGATTAACCTGAATACATGGCGAATAAATTATGAAAATTAAAATGGGTTAGACTTCATTGATAGGACCAGTAACTACCAGTCGTTTAACACAGGACACTAATTTTTAAGCCTCTGGAGTAGTCGGTCAACTTAACTATCTTTACAAGAGCTTCACCCAGAGTTACAAGCGCATTGGCAAATTACTGATCGAAGTACCACCAACACAAAGGAATATTTTACTGACACTAGACCTCTTGATACTGGTAAAATCCGTGTGCTAGATAAATTTTCAGACAGTTATCGACTGCAGCTACTGCATCAAAATGTCAGAGAAGGCTTACGAGAACCAAATGTTCGACAAGGGATGGAATGATCTTACTCATTTTCCAGATGTCCTTTAGGCAGAATCAATGGTTATAAACGCTGCCCAATGGATTTCAAGTAAGTTGTATTTATTTCATGCAGATTATAGCACAACCAGAATCCTGAGAGGGATATTTAAACGAGAGACGCTCCTGTACATTTTCATTTCACAACGTAACTGCAATATGATACATTCGAGCCAAGACTTGAGTCGCTGACGACTATGATTGTACTTCTGAATAAAAACAAGTGATAACCTGGCAATATCTCCAAACACTGGTCTCCATTACCAAAACTGTAAGTCACTATCAGCTACTAAAACAACTCTACTTTCGGCCTAGAAACCTGACTTATAATCTTCGGCGGCCTGTTTGAATATTTGGACTACCGGTTTCCTGACATCAGAAACCTTTCAACAAGTTACCTACTTCTGTTTGTTTCAACATGTCAATTATGTCTATTGATCGAATAATCTATTCAGGCACGTGTATAAAAGTTTACGACCAATCGCTCCACAAGGTACAAAGAAATACAATCCCAGACATTGCGTTGGCTGGCAATCTGTTGAGCAGAGAATGAACGTTAACAAAATGTCGACTCCTGAAACGATCACTTCCAACTACGAATCATTAATTGTTTCGTAAAGGAAACTTGATGAAATATTCAGTGCTGAGAATTCCATATTGTACTAAATACATCACATTCAATAACGTCAATATAAATATTATCATTATTATTACTAAACTCGTTATAATGATAATAACAATAATCACAAAAGTTGTTATTATCATTATTATTATTATTATTATTATTATTATTATTATTATTAGACATGCCTCATAATATACCTTATAATCTGTTAGGTTTATCGACACTGGTAAGCACTGAGTGTATTGCTTGAAATAAAAACATAAACTTAATTAATACCAGTTGTATAAAAGGTTATCAAGCCAGAAACATATTTGTTCAGGAGTCAAACATATGAATTGAGTTCATCAGTTTCTCGTGCCAATATCTCAAACTAGTGCTTCATCTTATCGACATGTGGAATTTGTTCATAAAAGTTTTGGAATATATTAGTGGTATACTTAAAGCTCCTGGTTATTGCACTTCTATCGCATCCAATTTTCACAACCTACAGAATACTTTTATAAAAACATTTCATCTGAAAAGAACAGTCTCCTGCACTTCCTATCCTAAAGTTATTATCGAGCCCTAACAACATCATCTAAGTGTTATCATCCTTGCATCCCACTCGAACTTGACTGATCCCGATTTTTATAACTATCAAGTTGGACGAATTAGCCGAAATTTCTATCGACTTTATTACCAGTTTGAGAGTATAACTTTAATCGCACCACTTACTGATAACGATTTGTTCATCAATTTAAATGGTAGTAGTTAATTAGTGAGATTTGACTAAGCTGATGTTTACCAACGGATAATGGTTTATGTCTGCATCGATAACTATCGACTACAAACAAGTGTTACGGGTTAATGTAATACGACAGACTACATTACCGTATAAGAACAGTTGATGAACGTAATTTTGGCAAGTACTTCAAATGCTGCCAACTAAATCTATGATATCTTCCTTGTTGCAAGTTCGCCAGAAAAATTATACACCCGAGACCAATTCATTCCAAACCATATACAAACCCATGAATTTCAACTTAGATTAAAAAAATCTGTCAACTTTGTATATGTTTAGCTAAGTACTTGAGTATTCGTCACCGATCTGAACGGAAGAAAATTAGAGTCATGGAAAAATGAGAACATTTCCGAAAATACCTTAAACCTGCTCTTGAGTTCATTTAGTGATTACTAGGTATTTTGAAAATCTATGAATAAGTACATTGTTAAACCAACATCTATTAGAACTGATCGACAAAGTGGCACAATATTATACAGAATTAAACGCTAATTTAAAGTACTATCTTATATTGGCAAAATACGATCCAAAAATATCGAAAGTTGTCTAAGGTAGTAGTGCATTTACTTATAGTGCAGGGGCAATGATTCTACTTAAACTCCTAAATACTGTACAGAGCCGACCACACGTACAATTAGACCGTCGTCTTTAATGGAAACTATACGAATCAATAGAAAAAACATTTCCGCTGCTTATCACACCACACTGATCTCATAAATTAAAATATGGGGAACGCTCCACTTTACTATCGAGGTGAAAACCAATATGAGCAGTTTTCAGGTCGTGATTCGGGATTTTAGAACATTTAACCAACTCTTTACGCTAACGTGGAACAGTCATTATGGAACACAACTCCAAAAAAACAATGTTCCACCATAGACTTCAGTAGTTCATACAAACTTTCCAGCAGTAATTAGCTTATCACAAATGAATATAGTTAGTATCGAGGTCTCCGAAGACCGTGCAAACCACAGCATCGATAGTGCAGTGTAAGGCACTCCCAGTAACAAAAATAACAGAATCAGAACGGTACACATAAAGATAATACACCACGAGTTATGCATCAAATTCAGCACAGTAGCAATTGGCGCATCAAAATTCTCCTAAATAGCTAGTTAAATGAGTTTTTTAAACCACAGGAAGCAGAACGACAATTTGTAGCGCTAACACAACGGTGATAACAATCACTGCTATAATCTTATGCAGAACGTGCATTTCCGGCATGTTATTTACTATTCACAGCCAAAAATATATTCCATCACAATTACAATAATATCCGGATGATCGGATGATTATTTTGCCAACTTCTTTCCATAACAGTTTTCTCAGACAACGAATCACATGTTCACAATACGACTATCATCCAAATTTTGCTACCGTACCACCGTTAGCCAGATTCATTCACTAGTAAAGTTCAATGAATAGGTCAAACAATTTGTGAACATACTGAAACTGAAACCGTCCAACAGTCTAAACCAATTCACAAAAAGGATTTCCTTTGAAAACAACACTCGCCACAAGAAATTGCATGACAAATTAAACCCTGAATAAGCACATGCAATAACAGACGGAAAAACGAGGAGCGAAAAGGCCACATTGTGCAACAATCCAAAACAAGTCACTTTCTCGAAATTTTTGGACATGAAACAACAACATGTTTTCCAAACATGATGAATATTACATAAACCATATTCGCAACAACAGTATTCTCACTAAACAAACTTTTGAAAGTAGAAAAAATAACAAAATATGAATTTTCTATGGGTTCAAAAACAACATGGAAATGTTATTTCCCAAATTTAATACTTATCTAGCTACAAAATAGACATAAAATCCAAATATCATTCACTACCTAACCGTTAGAATAGACCATCATCTAAATTCACAACAATAAATTAAATCATTTACTAAACTAAACAAAAAACATTCAAACAACAACAACAACAAGTACCTCAGCAACTACCTCGGCATTCTTCTCATTCTCAACAACACCAGAATCTAATGTCACCGATTCTACACTTTCTTTTGACGCCAAATCCGATAATATCGCATTCTTCATGCATCCACTATCATCCAAACACTCCTCTGATTCCTTCATAGGAGATTCGCTCTTCACACCATTCGCTGTTCTGTTACGAGTTCTAATCAGTTTCACCTAAAAACATTAACCGACAAAGTACTCAAATCAACGGGAAGACAAATAAACACACATCACAATATAATCACAAATATACCAACAAAATACTCATGATTAACATCCCGAAACACAAAACTATTCACCACTTACTCCTACCCTCCGTATTTCCTCCCCCTAACTCCTCACTCTTTCTCTCTCTCTCTCCCTCTCTCATACACACACCACCGTCAAACAACAATATTAACACAAACACCTCACAACCACCACCACCAAACATGAACAACATCAAACTAACTACTCCTCACCTACCTCATGATTCGTATTACGTGCATGACGTAAAAGTGACGCTCTATGACGATAACTCGATGAACACATGTTACATTTGAAAACAGATGCAGTCGGACTTGTACTCAAAACATCTTGTTCACTTGTTGTCGTCATTGCTGCTTTTGTTGGCGTCGTCGTTATCACTACTGCCGTTTCTGTCGTTACTCCTGGAGACTCCAGTTCACTCGTCGACCGAGACATCCAATTCTTCTGTTCCTCCTACACAAGTGAGGGAACAGCAGTCGTCATTACAAAAACAAACGTTTACACATTCTCCATACGTTATGTAATTCTCTAGTAACCAAACACACATATTCAAAACAAATACTCACTTCACGGGGACTATTCTGATGACATTCAGCTGAAATCGAACATTCGTCTGCGCAATCGTGTTGTGAGTCTTCTGAATTTATCAAAGACGTCACATTCTTGTCTAACGTAGAAAAACTAAGAGCGTCCAGTGATTCTTCACCTGAGTGCATTAACATTTCACCATTGTGTGTATCAGTATTCAAATGTCGGTGATTAACCTGAATACATGGCGAATAAATTATGAAAATTAAAATGGGTTAGACTTCATTGATAGGACCAGTAACTACCAGTCGTTTAACACAGGACACTAATTTTTAAGCCTCTGGAGTAGTCGGTCAACTTAACTATCTTTACAAGAGCTTCACCCAGAGTTACAAGCGCATTGGCAAATTACTGATCGAAGTACCACCAACACAAAGGAATATTTTACTGACACTAGACCTCTTGATACTGGTAAAATCCGTGTGCTAGATAAATTTTCAGACAGTTATCGACTGCAGCTACTGCATCAAAATGTCAGAGAAGGCTTACGAGAACCAAATGTTCGACAAGGGATGGAATGATCTTACTCATTTTCCAGATGTCCTTTAGGCAGAATCAATGGTTATAAACGCTGCCCAATGGATTTCAAGTAAGTTGTATTTATTTCATGCAGATTATAGCACAACCAGAATCCTGAGAGGGATATTTAAACGAGAGACGCTCCTGTACATTTTCATTTCACAACGTAACTGCAATATGATACATTCGAGCCAAGACTTGAGTCGCTGACGACTATGATTGTACTTCTGAATAAAAACAAGTGATAACCTGGCAATATCTCCAAACACTGGTCTCCATTACCAAAACTGTAAGTCACTATCAGCTACTAAAACAACTCTACTTTCGGCCTAGAAACCTGACTTATAATCTTCGGCGGCCTGTTTGAATATTTGGACTACCGGTTTCCTGACATCAGAAACCTTTCAACAAGTTACCTACTTCTGTTTGTTTCAACATGTCAATTATGTCTATTGATCGAATAATCTATTCAGGCACGTGTATAAAAGTTTACGACCAATCGCTCCACAAGGTACAAAGAAATACAATCCCAGACATTGCGTTGGCTGGCAATCTGTTGAGCAGAGAATGAACGTTAACAAAATGTCGACTCCTGAAACGATCACTTCCAACTACGAATCATTAATTGTTTCGTAAAGGAAACTTGATGAAATATTCAGTGCTGAGAATTCCATATTGTACTAAATACATCACATTCAATAACGTCAATATAAATATTATCATTATTATTACTAAACTCGTTATAATGATAATAACAATAATCACAAAAGTTGTTATTATCATTATTATTATTATTATTATTATTATTATTATTATTATTATTATTATTATTAGACATGCCTCATAATATACCTTATAATCTGTTAGGTTTATCGACACTGGTAAGCACTGAGTGTATTGCTTGAAATAAAAACATAAACTTAATTAATACCAGTTGTATAAAAGGTTATCAAGCCAGAAACATATTTGTTCAGGAGTCAAACATATGAATTGAGTTCATCAGTTTCTCGTGCCAATATCTCAAACTAGTGCTTCATCTTATCGACATGTGGAATTTGTTCATAAAAGTTTTGGAATATATTAGTGGTATACTTAAAGCTCCTGGTTATTGCACTTCTATCGCATCCAATTTTCACAACCTACAGAATACTTTTATAAAAACATTTCATCTGAAAAGAACAGTCTCCTGCACTTCCTATCCTAAAGTTATTATCGAGCCCTAACAACATCATCTAAGTGTTATCATCCTTGCATCCCACTCGAACTTGACTGATCCCGATTTTTATAACTATCAAGTTGGACGAATTAGCCGAAATTTCTATCGACTTTATTACCAGTTTGAGAGTATAACTTTAATCGCACCACTTACTGATAACGATTTGTTCATCAATTTAAATGGTAGTAGTTAATTAGTGAGATTTGACTAAGCTGATGTTTACCAACGGATAATGGTTTATGTCTGCATCGATAACTATCGACTACAAACAAGTGTTACGGGTTAATGTAATACGACAGACTACATTACCGTATAAGAACAGTTGATGAACGTAATTTTGGCAAGTACTTCAAATGCTGCCAACTAAATCTATGATATCTTCCTTGTTGCAAGTTCGCCAGAAAAATTATACACCCGAGACCAATTCATTCCAAACCATATACAAACCCATGAATTTCAACTTAGATTAAAAAAATCTGTCAACTTTGTATATGTTTAGCTAAGTACTTGAGTATTCGTCACCGATCTGAACGGAAGAAAATTAGAGTCATGGAAAAATGAGAACATTTCCGAAAATACCTTAAACCTGCTCTTGAGTTCATTTAGTGATTACTAGGTATTTTGAAAATCTATGAATAAGTACATTGTTAAACCAACATCTATTAGAACTGATCGACAAAGTGGCACAATATTATACAGAATTAAACGCTAATTTAAAGTACTATCTTATATTGGCAAAATACGATCCAAAAATATCGAAAGTTGTCTAAGGTAGTAGTGCATTTACTTATAGTGCAGGGGCAATGATTCTACTTAAACTCCTAAATACTGTACAGAGCCGACCACACGTACAATTAGACCGTCGTCTTTAATGGAAACTATACGAATCAATAGAAAAAACATTTCCGCTGCTTATCACACCACACTGATCTCATAAATTAAAATATGGGGAACGCTCCACTTTACTATCGAGGTGAAAACCAATATGAGCAGTTTTCAGGTCGTGATTCGGGATTTTAGAACATTTAACCAACTCTTTACGCTAACGTGGAACAGTCATTATGGAACACAACTCCAAAAAAACAATGTTCCACCATAGACTTCAGTAGTTCATACAAACTTTCCAGCAGTAATTAGCTTATCACAAATGAATATAGTTAGTATCGAGGTCTCCGAAGACCGTGCAAACCACAGCATCGATAGTGCAGTGTAAGGCACTCCCAGTAACAAAAATAACAGAATCAGAACGGTACACATAAAGATAATACACCACGAGTTATGCATCAAATTCAGCACAGTAGCAATTGGCGCATCAAAATTCTCCTAAATAGCTAGTTAAATGAGTTTTTTAAACCACAGGAAGCAGAACGACAATTTGTAGCGCTAACACAACGGTGATAACAATCACTGCTATAATCTTATGCAGAACGTGCATTTCCGGCATGTTATTTACTATTCACAGCCAAAAATATATTCCATCACAATTACAATAATATCCGGATGATCGGATGATTATTTTGCCAACTTCTTTCCATAACAGTTTTCTCAGACAACGAATCACATGTTCACAATACGACTATCATCCAAATTTTGCTACCGTACCACCGTTAGCCAGATTCATTCACTAGTAAAGTTCAATGAATAGGTCAAACAATTTGTGAACATACTGAAACTGAAACCGTCCAACAGTCTAAACCAATTCACAAAAAGGATTTCCTTTGAAAACAACACTCGCCACAAGAAATTGCATGACAAATTAAACCCTGAATAAGCACATGCAATAACAGACGGAAAAACGAGGAGCGAAAAGGCCACATTGTGCAACAATCCAAAACAAGTCACTTTCTCGAAATTTTTGGACATGAAACAACAACATGTTTTCCAAACATGATGAATATTACATAAACCATATTCGCAACAACAGTATTCTCACTAAACAAACTTTTGAAAGTAGAAAAAATAACAAAATATGAATTTTCTATGGGTTCAAAAACATGGAAATGTTATTTCCCAAATTTAATACTTATCTAGCTACAAAATAGACATAAAATCCAAATATCATTCCCTACTACTACCGTTAGAATAGACCATCATCTAAATTCACAACAATAAATTAAATCATTTACTAAACTAAACAAAAAACATTCAAACAACAACAACAACAAGTACCTCAGCAACTACCTCGGCATTCTTCTCATTCTCAACAACACCAGAATCTAATGTCACCGATTCTACACTTTCTTTTGACGCCAAATCCGATATATCGCATTCTTCATGCATCCACTATCATCCAAACACTCCTCTGATTCCTTCATAGGATATTCGCTCTTCACACCATTCGCTGTTCTGTTACGATTCTAATCAGTTTCACCTAAAACATTAACCGACAAAGTACTCAAATCAACGGAAGACAAATAAACACACCTCACAATATAATCACAAATATACCAACAAAATACTCATGATTAACATCCCGAAACACAAAACTATTCACCACTTACTCCTACCCTCCGTATTTCCTCCCCCTAACTCCGAAACGTTTACACATTTTACAGAGACACAGACAGATACTACGCAGAATTTCGTACATAGTTACATCAGTTCAGGTTGCCAAACCACATGAGCACACAGACGTAATTGTCAGATCAAATCCAAGAGTGATAGACATAGTAGAATTATTAGCAGTAATGGAGAAGTTTATGGAGCGAGGATGTGATACGAAAAGTATAATTCAGTGAGATAAATTTAAAAGGATAAAGATAGAGATTAACCGGAATCCAGACGGTTAGAAGTAGAGGCAACACAAATAGTGGGTGCCCTTGCGCCACTGCAAACGATTCTGAGCCGTAGTTGCTACCTTGACGTGGTGGTCGGGCTTGCCTATTGTCATGACCCAACCGAGCTATACTGGCTGGAACACATGTTCCTGCAGGTCCTACCATGCCAGGCGGGTCGATTCGAGAACGATGAGACTAAAAGCAGCTACAGAAGGTCTGAGGGCGAAGTCGTACTGCTGACTGCAGAGGGGTGTGACAGCAGTAAGGTGTTTCCCTCGGACAACCAGCATCTACAGCGATGCTGCCTTCTCACAAGGAAGAAATGGTTAGTAAAGGTCGACCCTAAAAATATCACACCTCACACTACCTCACGGATTTCCGTCTCCAGCGGTAAGGGTGACGCCCACTAAGGGCTTTCAAGAGCGGAGCTAATACTCAAAAAACCTTTAACAAAAAGGTCGTGCGTGACCGGCCTCAAGCAGTTGTCCCATGGGCTCTGCGGTCACGCACCCAGGTCTCTATGACCGACAATAATCTACCTTCCTTTTCAGGTCCCTCAAGAAACAACCGTCCACGGTGTGGGCAGCCGGGAAGTGACAACCGCCCTCATACCCGTAACAACACACGAGACCCAATCGGTGACAACCAAATCCTTCTTACACATTTTCCATACGTTATGTAATTCTCTAGTAACCAAACACACATATTCAAAACAAATACTCACTTCACGGGGACTATTCTGATGACATTCAGCTGAAATCGAACATTCGTCTGCGCAATCGTGTTGTGAGTCTTCTGAATTTATCAAAGACGTCACATTCTTGTCTAACGTAGAAAAACTAAGAGCGTCCAGTGATTCTTCACCTGAGTGCATTAACATTTCACCATTGTGTGTATCAGTATTCAAATGTCGGTGATTAACCTGAATACATGGCGCATAAAATTTATAAAAGGAAATCGGATAGTAAAATTTGACAATTATTATATACAGAATCATTTTTATACTCATAAATTATTGTGAATAGTGGAATGGAAGCGGTAACTCTTCCAGTTACATAATTATCAACTTTTCGATCATGAGATATCAGAGAGGGATGGATGGTTTTGTCAATCTTAATGAAAAGTAATAGAAACCGAAATAAGTGGGTAAACGTTTAATTTTAATGAAGGATGTTGAGATACAATTGTAAATATCCTAATGGTTTCGAATAGTTCTGACGGATAAGGTAGGTGGTGATGAGTCCCAAACAATTTCTAAATTGGTATATTTGCCTAGTTTAGAACTCCCAGTAACGAAATCTGGGTTGGGTGCTTGTTTTTACCAGTTCAATCAGAAGATAACGTAACAAAGCAGTTAACAGAAATAAAAGGATATATGAAACTCGTGAAGATAATCATTTACAAAAAAGGTTATCAATATGAACAGATTTGGTATCTGTGAGAAAGAGAGACCTCTGTCACATACATATACAGATAAAAAAGTATAGAATTTATAAACACACAAAAGCAAAAAAGAGACAAATGGTTAAAACTGCATACCTTATTTAACTTAGTGCTCAACATTCCACTTTTAAATAATTGGTTCCTTAAATTCTTTGACTTTGGTGTTGTTTTGTGAGTAGGCGTAAAGGAAAAATGAAATCTACGTTTATTTCTCTGCACCGATGGCTCTGATTTCGGAGTACCACACTGCAAAACAAAAAAATAACACACTTAATTTATATTACAAATTATAGCTGAATAGAAAAACATGTTGCGCGTAAAACGCTAAAAGAATTTCAAAGGATATTAAGTATTTCTACATAAATTTCATAATCATAAACACACTAACCCATAATAAAGTGAGTTTTATATATATATATATATATATATATATATATATATATATATATATATATATATATATATCATAAATATTTCAACGACTTACTGTACTTAGTGAAATTCTAGCCTTACAACTGGTCAAATGCCTAGAAAAATTCGAACGATTATGGATTACACGATTACAAAATGAACATGTATAAGGTCCATTGTAAGAGGGTCTGTAATTTCGCCAAATATCTTCCTCAGACTATAACAAAGAAGCATACGTAAAACAAAAGAAACAACTATCAAATATGGATTAAGTAAAAACATTTAAAAACTTCACTTCTAAATTTAAAAGTTTGCCCAGTCAAATATACCTCCACCTTGAAAAGGAATTTCGGTGATAACTCCCCAGGAACGATCATTTCATAAAAATTATTGCACACTTGGAATGATTTCAAAATGCCTACTAGTGAGTGAGCATGGAAAAACTATTAGGAAATCAAATGTAGGGGTTTAAGTAAAATGATGTTCATCTGTTTGAGAGGATTAATGACAATATTCTATAACTAAAAGTATATCAAATAAGGTATTTGATTCTGACTCAGTAAGTGATGGGAAAATATCTAAAATTTTGAAAACTAACCATTTAACATCAATTGATTAAATATTCCCAGTTGATATCAATAGCCTATCCATGAAAATAATCCACTCAATCTCTTAATAGCACAAGGAAATGCGATTCAAGAGTTTTCTAAAAGCAAACACTTGTTCAGTGCTCAACTTTTAATGAGATTCAGTAGTGTAATCCTAATTAGTGAGAGATATATTCAGACAAACTCAAACCTAACAATTTAACTCATATACTGAAAATAATATAACAAAGTGTACATGTATAATCGTTTTAAGAAAAACTATAATACATACTTCATATGGTTTATTATTATTATTAGAAGATAAATTATTTTCTGAAATTTTTGTGACTACATCATTAGAATCCAATGTGGTAGTAGTATTAGTAGTAGTACAGAAATTATGATTTGTTTTCAATAAATTATCCGAATCCGTAAGTGGATTAGTAATAGTCGACACAAAAGAAGTGATCGCTTTTGAATTAATACCATGGTTCAGATTTGGATTGTTCTATAATTAAAATGAGAAAAGAAATTTAAGAAAATATTTATTGTTAAAAAAAGCTTTTGTCAGCAGATCATGAACGTTTGTTAAAGAATACTATTGATAAACCTTGATAGTCAAAAGAAAGTAACTAATAAGCACGATACTAAAGTATTATAATTTGTTTTCAACAGTCATCTAATAAAAAGTAATTTAATGTTAAGATAGTTGATCAACGAATTAACTAACTTTTATCAACATAACTATCATGCATAAAATAATGATATGATTTGTTATGCGCATTACCCGCTAAAGACATGCTACGGGTTTAAGATAAAAAGTCCATTCTCCTCAAAACATATTCACCTAGACTATGATTCTAGCAGGAAAAATCACAATAAACTGATTCAAAATAATTTCACTATATAACTCAATTAGAAAAAGAGTTCTTTTTCGTATCAGCGTACAACTGACCATGATTGCAGAAGTCTTTGTCACTACCTTTACTAGGTGGAGGTGCTTTTTAAAGAATTGAGAAGACGAAAAGCCAATGTCCAGCGACTGGCTTTTGATAGGGGAAGTCGGAAAACCTTGATTGCATGGTATATGAATCTAATTTAGATTACCGACCACCATGGCATTGCATTTCATAAAGTTGACCTGTTGCCTTGTGGATTAAACCTTGAGGCAAAAGATTTGGAAAGTGATCCACCCACTGAAAAAAATACCTGGTTCAGTTTGCACTTTGACACAGTACATAAAAAAAGCATGTGAATGAGCATAGAACTATTTTCAACTAAAAAAAAGGAATAAAACACTCATTTGATATGAAAGTTCAAAAGATTCTCTATCCTCTCTTACAGTATTTCTCCTTTCTCCCGAACGGCCACATTGAAGATTCTGATTTGCTTGACATATAACTCCATTACTTATTGATATCTCTTCATCGACATTATTAACTACATTAGGACTTCCTGATGAAATCAATGAAGACTGACAAGTTTGACTAATTTCATATAATTTCTTCTTTGTTGACTAGATTTTTATTAGGAAAGAGAAAAGAGGTAAATTACATTTGCATGTTTCAAGAAGTTGAAGAACAATATATATGCGGACAACAGAGATTAGACCATAGAGTAGAAGTGAACGAAACAGCAATACAACTTTAACACTGACTAAGACACATTGCTAACAAATCCGTTCTGCTTTCATGACCCTAAAAACTTAATTTTTTTAGTTTTACGATTACAATGTAATTTTGCATTAAAAATGTGTCATGGATCCAGAATTTCCATGCCCCATTATAACCTTTTCTATTTACTTCTTAGGTCGTAGATGCTCGTGACCGTCAATAAAGTTAGCACTCGATTATATTACATGCGGAACACATTACTGTAATAATAAACCATAACAAGTTTAATCTCTACAGCCAATCTTCAAGTCTCAATGCATATAAAAGAGATACGCAATTGCAAGTGAAAATTTAACGTTTGTAGAGAGAATCTTTCGAATCTCAAAAGTAGATAAGACATGATGGGCTAAGGCTAAAAAATAATCCGATCATCCAGTGAATTGATTATGAGAACTGGATTTAGGAATTCTGTACTATGAAAACACCAAACTACCAAAAATATCAAACCAATCATCTAGACGAATCAACTACAACAAATGACAGGGAAAACACAACTGAAAAAACTACGATTTATATGGTTACGTATTTTTTTAAAAAAAATTAGAACCATAATCTTGAGATAAACAAGAAAAATATGTGTTTGAGAAGAAAAAATTAACAAACGATGAGAAAATGTTAAGATCTGGAGGAAGATAAAGTGTCAATTTGTTTGATTCATAGTGATGAATTTTGAAAGATGACCAACCACTAAATTTTATAGAATTTATAGCGGTACTGATAATACAACACAAACAAAAATCATTAGACGAAATGGCACTATTCGTAGGCAATACTAATTTATTCCTGACAACACTTACGTATTTTGGAGCCAACTGACAAACAATCATATGTTTTGATTGGTATCGTCTTTCAGAGAATGGACGTGTGCAATACAAACATCGGAAAATGGATTTGTTAGACGAATCACTTTGATTTTGAGTTGAAATAAGCTCCTCCTTTGCAGGCTAATAAGAGTAAAATAATATTTTTAATGACAAAATCTTAAAACAAAACGAAATACACTCGATAAAAAATTTCTTCATAAACAATACCCGACAGTCGCTACTATCGAGTTTGCCTATTTTGACAACCAAGTTGGTCCATATTAGTTGAAACATTTGTTTGTTTTAGGTCCTACTAAACCAAATAGATCTGTTGGAGGTAGTAAAACAAAAAAGAAGTAATTTAAATTCTGACGGTGAAATTGCACTTTTGGCTGTACTGAGGTATGAGAATAGTAGGACGTTTTCCTAAGACAATCAACATCGACAGTGTTTGTTGAGCCCAGTTTCCTTTCAAGGTTCTTCGAGATGCATTCTTGCACGATATGGATAACTGCAAAGAGATAACCCACCATTCACTTATGACAGCACTTGATACTACATTTATGACGAGTAAATCCCTTCCCCCTTTCTGATGATCTTTTTCGTTTCTGCCACGAACCCGTCTCATTATCTCTAGATGGGGAAAGACGACTTAAATGTAGACTGGTGAAGTTTATGCAATGATCTTGAGCAGTAGTGAGCAACGAAAACAAAGCACATGGAAAGGACGATGCTAATTAAAATTATAAAGTGATTTAGCAACCAACTGCAAAAATAGTCAGTGATGGTAGCCCAGTTTAAACAACTAAGTTAAGTGACTCTGGGACCTAGACACAAGCTCTCCATAATAATGACTAGCGAACATAAAATGTGAGAAAAACGAGGCTCGTTTCAGATCTGAATGTGGATGTGTCGATGTTAGGATATTCACCAAATATCCTAAGAATACTATTTTTAGAACTGCAATCTTATTGGTCGAATTCTATTGGCCGAAATTTTGATCGTTCTTACCGTCAGGGTCAAATACTTCAATGTTATCTCTTATTGGTCATCTGGACGGTCAATGTCATTCAAATGTTCTTTTCTATTGGTCGTCCTAAATTGTCAATGTCACGGACGTTGATGCTTTTTCTCATTCGACCTTAGTGTATAAATACGCGCTATCTGGAAGACTTAATAATTCCGTTTCCCCTGCCTACTTCTTCTGTTTTCGACCCAATAAACATCTTCCTTCCACGGTGTTACGTTCTGATTTCTAGGAGATTTGGGAAAGCCTTTGAGTCGTTTTGTGATATTTGAATTGGACGCCGTTAGGACTGAAGATTTACGTAGCCGCGTTTACAACAAATTTGGCGACGGGTTGGTGACTAATTATGGATCCAGTTACATTAGAAAAATTGTTTGCACAGCAGCTGAAGCTGATGGAGATGCTTACTCAGACGCACATCTCTTCTCAAGTCTCATCTACACCAACAATTCCTCAGTCAGTTGATGGTATGACCAGTAGTATTTCTGAGTTTCTGTATGATCCTGACGCCAATATTACATTTGATACTTGGTTCATGCGTTATGAAGATCTTTTCAAAGTTGATTTTGCTGACAAAGATGATTCCTGGAAGGTGCGTCTTCTCCTTCGAAAACTTGGTCCGTCAGAACTGGACAAGTATCGCAACTACATCCTACCGCAGAACCCACGTGACAGATCATTCGATGCTACGGTTCAGTCCCTCAGCAAACTTTTTGGGGATCAGCATTCTATTTTCAATACACGTTATCGTTGTTTAAAACTAGTCATGAATGAGTCCGATGACTTCTTGACTCATGTTGGTATTGTCAACCGCGAGTGTGAACGGTTCAAACACAGATCCCTTACTGATGACCAATTCAAATCCCTCATATTCATATGCAGTCTACAATCACCCAAATTCTCCGACATCAGAACTCGATTGCTTAACCGCCTCGAACAAGACCCAACACTGACACTCGATGCTATCGCTGATGAGTACCAACGCATCACCAACTTACAGTGTGACACCACCTTGGTTCAATCTGGGAGCCAGGGTGGTTCCGAAGTTCACGTTGTTCAGCAGCAGAACAAATCTTCTAGATCGAAAACCCTTGGTCGTTCGAATCCCAGTTCTGTTTCAAATCACTCAAAATCAGCGCATAAGAAGCCCCCCTCACCATGTTGGCACTGTGGAGACTGGCATTATGTGAAATTTTGTCCATTCAAGCAGCATGTGTGCAATCGCTGTCAGAAAATTGGTCATAAAAGCGGTTTTTGCCAATCAACCCGATTCACTGGCCGGCGAAATTCACAGTCGCAGCGCCGTTATCCCAGAAAGCCGTTTGCTGCATCTAGGAGTTTAGCAGCAGCTTTTCACACCGATGCTTCTACTCGACGCAAATTTCTGACCCTCTCGATCAATGGTCAGCTGGTTCGAATGCAGTTGGATACTGCATCAGATATCACTATTCTGTCAGAAGAGACTTGGCGAACCTTGGGTCAACCACGCATCAAACCATCATCGCAGATAGTTGTCAGTGCCTGTGGGGGTCACCTTCGTCTTCGTGGTAAACTTGATTGCTGTGTTTCGTTCAGAGATACAACCTTCAATGGAACATGCTATATCAACAAGTCTCCTCACAACCTTCTGGGGTTAGATTGGTTCGAAAAACTTGGTCTCGCTGATCTTCCCATCAATACTGTCTGCAATCAAGTAAAAACTCCTGCCATTACACAACAGCATGCTGCAGATTTTCAAAAACGACTCACTAAAACGCTTCAGCCTGGTATCGGACTGCAGCCAGTTGCCACGCCTGAAGAAAATGTGATCTCAGATAACTTGTGTGACGTCACCATGCATGTCAAGTCCCAAGATAAAGCAGACTGGGGTGATGGAGAAAAACATGATAAAATAAACAGACAAAGATATTCACGTGACTCCATTCTTTCTTGTAAATCTTCAAGCGTCGAAGTGAAGCTAGTGAATGATAAGGATATCATGAAAAGCCTTCCAAATACCAAAAGACCTCGTGATCAACTAAGGCCAGGGGGAGATAAAGAGAAAGGTAAAATTACGAAGCGCCTCCCACTCTGTTTGCTGTTGGATACTTATCAAGTTCCGCCAATACCTCCAACAGACACTATCGAGTCATCTACTCAAACAGAACATCCTACAGCTCCAGGGATTTTATCTCCGAGGTGGTCGAAACGCAAGCGAAGAAAATCAAGTAATTTCAAGTAAACCCTCGGCTGTGTCGCTGTTATTTTTTTTCCTTTTTTTCTTCCAGAGGGAGGTGTTAGGATATTCACCAAATATCCTAAGAATACTATTTTTAGAACTGCAATCTTATTGGTCGAATTCTATTGGCCGAAATTTTGATCGTTCTTACCGTCAGGGTCAAATACTTCAATGTTATCTCTTATTGGTCATCTGGACGGTCAATGTCATTCAAATGTTCTTTTCTATTGGTCGTCCTAAATTGTCAATGTCACGGACGTTGATGCTTTTTCTCATTCGACCTTAGTGTATAAATACGCGCTATCTGGAAGACTTAATAATTCCGTTTCCCCTGCCTACTTCTTCTGTTTTCGACCCAATAAACATCTTCCTTCCACGGTGTTACGTTCTGATTTCTAGGAGATTTGGGAAAGCCTTTGGGTCGTTTTGTGATATTTGAATTGGACGCCGTTAGGACTGAAGATTTACGTAGCCGCGTTTACAACAGTCGACTAAATATCCACTTATAGCGTAGGCGAGATATCCGTTTGCTGACTAAAGGACGAGTGTACTGCGCAGCACGTCTCTCCGTCTTACTTTATGGCTGTGAAACATGGCCAGGGAGAGTAGCAGATACTCGTTGGTTATTGGTTTTTGATCATCGATGTCTTCGAAGCATTGCTCGTATATCCTGGGACAATCGAGTAAGCAATGCAGTTGTTAAGGATGGCAAAGTAACAGATGATGTACTGAATCTTTATCAGTTGAGGTGGTTGGTGCACGTGTTACGAATGCCCAACCTCCGACTGCCTCGACGAGCTGTTTTGCGATATAGGAATAGCCTAGACGAAAGCTAGGTGCGACCAGACCAAAACATGACAGAAATCCAGGAAGTCACTGACAAGTGGACTGAGTCATGTCGGTAGTTGTCGACTACCTGGTTGGGGTCCGCGAGATGATAATAATCGATGGTTAGATACCCTGCATGACATGGCTCAAAATCGTTTGCAATGGCGCCGGTGCATTTATTCTTTGTGTTCTCTCAAATCCTAATCTTCTGGATTCTTCAACCCCCCTAGTTTTGACTTTCTAAACTTATCTGACTGAATTATATTTCTTGAATAATATCTTCAAATCCTAATCTTCTCCATTGCCAGTAATACTTCTACTATCTCTAACGCTATGGGATTTGAATGAACAATTGAGTCTCTATGCTCATGTGGTTATGGCAACCTGAACTAATGCACTTACGTACGAAGTTCTACGTTGTAACTGACTGACTGACTAACTAATAACAGATAATGAAATGGTTGAGCGCATTGGTCACTTCACTTACGTTGAAAGTTTCATCAACCTTAGTTGGCTGGTCTGTGATGAAATTTTTCCACCGACTCAAAAGGATTACTTGCATATCGAGAATTTGTCATCTGTAGTATAAGTGAGATGACGAGTTAGTAACCAAGAAGCGAGTATATTGAGCGAAAGTCCTCTTGATATAATGAATTAATCGGAAGCCGCCAAATGAAACCATTTGATAGCCAGAAATGTCTTTAAGGACAAATGCATATCATTGGACAAGAAATAGGTCCATTTTCTAAGGGGGTGTTCATCACGCAGATTAACAGAGATGAACAGGTTTGTTTACTTGATTATTACGTTAATTTATTAAGTGAACGTTATTAAAATGATTTGAAGTCCGAGATACCACAGATGAGTTCATCAGTTCAAGTTGCCATACCACACTAATACATAGACGAAATTATTAATTCAAAGCCCATAGTAGAAGAGGTAGTAGAAGAATTAGCAGTAATAAGAGAGATTAGGGTTCGAAAATATTATTCAAGAAGTATGATCTAATGAAATAAACTTTAAAAAACGAAAGATAAAGGTGATGAGGTTGTGCAAACTGGAATAGGTGGAGCTGGTTTCAAACCTGAAACTTAGTACTTATCAATAACCCAGAAATACCACAATACAACTGACATTGCCTGAAAAAAAGGTATTTGGCTTCTGAGTTTAAATAATCTCCACTCAAACAAAATTTATGCATTAACTACTGATCTAGATAGAATCCATGACGATATATGAACAGTTGTATTCATTTATCAAGTAGATGGATAAAAAACTTTAGAAATCTAGGTAATAAAAGATCTTTCTTTCTAATGGTTTGAAATATATAAATATGTTAATTTCTGTAAAACTTAAGAAATACCTTCGATAGTTTAGATGGATTTTTTACTCTTAAAGATGGTCGTTGTTTTGCAACATGAATGGCTGCGAACGAATCTCGAGTCGATGAGTGATTTTGTTGACATTCGTCAATTGCTTTTAAAGTTAACGACTCACTTCCACTGGGTTTGATTGAATCCAATAATATTTGTGATGAGTTACCTTCAGTAAATATATGATTTTCATGGCGATCACAAGCGTCACAAAGTGAGTGACTTGACTCCTTTTTTAAATGTATTGAATTCTACAAGTTTAAAAAATATAAAAAAAACTCCTGAAACAAGTACTAAACACATTACTCGTAAAAGCCCTATATTACAAGGAACTTATGCTACGTTTAACTACGTGAATTTAAACTTATACTGAAATATAATATCTTTAAGCTCCTACTTGTTGAGTTTCTCTTCAAATTTATCACCATTTTTAGACAGGAACAGTCTGTTAAGATCAGACGATATATGTATAAAGTTTCATAACAAAGAAATACGTAAGTCGTATTTTCTATATTAAGACGAGGTTTAGTACAGTCAGAGTTGTTGCTGTCTATCAAATAAGCTAAACTGTCGGTTTTACGTTTAGAAAATGATCCAAACAACAAATAGCAAATAACTGAAACGTGAAACAAGACAGATTTTTCAAAAACTTCTGATGTGACGATTGTTTCTTAGGGAAATGAATTTGATGCCGTATCGCCATTCAGTAAAAATGTTTCCAATACTTTTGAGTGACACACGAGCAGACATTTGTATAGTATAGAGATTATGAAAATTTTGATGCAAGACAGCTGTAATACAAACCATAGAGTACCCAGAGAATTTTTCCAGCATACTCACCTATATGCGTAAAGTTCGTAAGTTATCAAATTAATAAGATATATAACATGATGCTCATTGTTCAGAGGTAGTATGCAACTTGATAGAATTTCAATTAGGATTTACACTTTTCTTAGAGAACAGGAAAATTGATTCAGGTAAGCTAATCTATATTCAACTAAGATTAAATTTTCTATCCCTGAAAGCTAATGGAAATTTGCATCTAGAAACTTTGTCTTGACAGTTTGAAATCTCCTTAACATGTTTTAATAAAAAACTTACATCGGTATTAAAAACAGAACCAGGTGATTGTGTGCCACTGAACAAATCTTCTTCTGTTGTGCATGTCGAAATCTCTTTCATTCTGCGAACCGGAACTGAAGGTGACAACTTCCTTTTTTTACTGTCACGAGTATCAATAAAAATGTGTCTGTTGTTTCGTCTTCGAGAACTTATATCTAGCTGATCTAAAGATACTTCGGAGGCATTGGAGGCAGTGTTAGAAAGAGACAACCTTCGTTTTCTGGGTTTAGAATGATTTTCAACTGCAATACCTGATAAAAAGAAATCCGGACTGCTGAAATCAGATGATGTATTTTTCTTAGCATGGACACCTTGACTATGATATTCTTCGGAAGACGAATAGCCACTATTCATAAGTAGTTTGTCCTGTTCAGTATTACACCTAAAAGGTGCTAACTTTACATTCCCGATAAATTCGTTTGCTTTTACAGGAGATAAGCAAGGGAATGTACGACTATCACCCTCCTGTGTTAATTTAATTGGGGACCCTAAAGCTGTTGTTTTTGTAGCTAACGGCCGAGGTAGATCATCAGTTTTTAATGACAGACTTCGTGGTTTTTTAGGTAGATTTATAAAGCTGTCCCAGTCTAAAAGCGATCGTCTAGCTTTTAGTGGATATTCATTTGAACCAGATATATTTGATTGATTTGTGTGTGCACCAATTGAAGTAAATATTGTTTGTCTGTCACTTGCACTTTCTTTGAATTCATTTATGTTTTTCTGACTTGTAATGTTACATACACTCCCAACGGAGTGTTTCTTGTTAATCTTTTGACTATCATACTCCTTAACTGTTTTACTCGAAGTCGAATTTAAATGAAGCATTGTATTTGAATCTGAAATAAAACAAGTAACCTTTCTAAATAACTGACCAACATTCACAAATAGGAGAGCTAACTTTATTTATTGAGTATGAAATAGGTTGTTAATTACTAAAGAAAAGGTCTGAATTAATTTAGATAACTAACTAATCAGATATCCATTTGTTACAAGACGATAGCATTTGACCCTGTCGATCGTGAGGTTTTGTGGCAGTGTCTGTCACTATAAGGTGTGCCAAAGGAGTACATTACCCTAATACCGGTTCTCTACTGGAACACTACTGGTGGAGTCAGAGCTTACGGCGAACTGTCAGACAGACAGACAGACAGATACAAGGTAGAACTTCGTACGTAAGTACATCAGTTCAAGTTGCCATGCCCTATCAGCACAGAGACGCGACTGTCAGTTCAAATCCAAGAGTGATAGCAATAATAGAAGTATTAGCAGTAATGGAGTAGATTAGGATCGAAGATATTATTCACGAAGTGTCATCCAGTGAAGTAAATGTAAGAAGAAAAAGATGCAGGTGATAAGGAATTTAGAAGATTAGAGGTTGAGAGAAGACAATGAATGGATTCGTACCACGTTTTTGTCTGTCTTCCCCTAGCTTTGTTCCGGCCTACCCTTACAACAGGTGTCATCGCTCATCAAGGCAGTCAGTTGTTAGGTATACGTAGCACATGTCCCAACCACCTCAACTGATGAAGTTTCAATACTTCATTTATTGATCTTCCATTCTTATCTAGTACTCGTTTCCTAACAACAGCATCGCCAACTCGGTGGTCCCAGGATATACGAGCAATGCTTTGAAGACACCTATGATCGAATACTAATAACCTACGAATATCCTCTACTCTTACTGGCCATGTTTCACAGCCATAAAGTATGACGGAACGAACTGCTAAGCAGCAGACTCGTCCTTGGGTTTGTGGATGGATATCTCGCCTACGCCATAGTGTCGCAATTTGGCAAAGGCCAATCGAGCCTTCTGTATCCGTGCTGAGATTTTGTCAGAAACCAAGCCATCAGGACTGATGAGACTCCCGAGATAAGTGAACCAGTCATCACATTCACTCTATCATTAGTTTAGGTACCGACGCAAGCCAATCTTGAAGCTACATTTTATATTTCAAGGGGGAGAATCGCATCCTGAACGTGCTTGCATTGTTACTTAAGTTAGCCAGAAGACTACGTTTTGTTTTTGTACTACCTTTACTACTAAGGATTTGAATTGACAATTGCGTCCCTGTATTAACTTGGTGTCACAACTAATGTACGTAAGCATCGAATTCTACTTTCTAGCTAACTGGAATTATGAAACCACGACTTTGTGTAGACTGAAAATACTACTTTATAATTCAGGCGGAAGTTTGGTGAAAATTAACATCCCAAGGGTTATAAGATGACTGGGGCTTCAAAGCATTGTTTTGAGCACTCAGTTTCAACTAATGGGCCAACAGTTTAGACCCTGATCCAACAGTGGGTAAGTAATACAACTTCATAAAGTGTGGTTGAAAGTTAAAGATAAAAACAATACAACTAGATAAGTTTAATATTATACAAATAAACTATGCATATAACAAATCAGTAGTGATAAGCGCTGTCATAACTGTAATTTACAGAACTAGGCATTGGGAGTATATATATATATATATATATATATATATATATATATATATATATATATATATATATATATATATATACATATATATATATATATTTCTTGAAACCCTAACTGAACCGGGCTAAAAATAAAGAATCCAGCGAAATATTTATAGATCTGGAATGACGAACCATTCATAGGCGTAATTAAGCTAAAGAAAGACATCGAAAATAACTAAGCTACATACCTCTAGTGGAAGTCATGATGTGTTGCTCTGATTAATTGGTAGGTTTTAAAGTCTGTTTTTGACGTTTCACGAGTAGTATTTGCTGAAATACTCCTTCGAATATCAGAATTAGAAATGGAACCAATTCATACATGTTTTTAGAGATATATTTATGTTTGTGATTGTATCAGCATGATTATTGGAGCCATTACACTGTACGGGAGAAATAAAAAGAGGTAACATTTTAAAAGTTGAAATGAAAACAGAAAGTAGAGCGCCTATGAGCAAAAGTAGGGATATGCTTGTGACAGATAGGAACAAAACTCACGCATAAAATCAGTGGAAATTCTTAGGGAATAAGACTATGCAGTATTTACTATATCAGAGATAAATAGGCCCCATATTAGTCATGATCTTCCCTGTTTTTCACATCAGCGGATCTCTGAAGTTCGATCCAAGTGAATTAAAATATACTTTAGACGGATAATGTGGAAATTTTTTAGAGAATTCAAGTTCCACGGGTCACCCTTGAATAAAGAATTATACTGGTTGATACTAAGGCGAAAACCCATGGATAAAACCAGTGGTATATTTGGTTCTAATATTTACACTGCTATTATGAAAATACCGTACGAGATGAAATCCGATGAAATGACCAAGCTTAGCCTTATTTGAATATATCAATGATGAAAATCAAATGCATTACATTGATACCCAAAATCTGATTAGGAACATAGGGTTTCAACACTACTCCCGAAAATTTACAGTCTGTTTCCCTACTTGACCGTAGGTTAATGGATGATCAGATAACAATGTGCTGTATACCAAACAACGACTTGCACACTTATTTTGGTTGTAACGTTCAAAATTTAAAGCTCAGCCGATATATAAAGTACCGCTTAGATGTTCCGTTTCTTCACCGACTTTTAAACTAGCTAGTTTGTGTAAATATGGGACAGACAACCAGTTGTTTTAAAGAGCAGTCTCCATTGTACGCCAAACAGAAATTGTAGTCTAGTTGATGAAGACTGATAGGCTTTACGAAAATAAGCATGCAAATACCTCCTCAACGCAACGCGACGGAATATTTTCGGAAGAACATATGCATAGACAATTAATCGGTTCGATAAAAACACGTCACCTCCTTTTCAAAAGTCAAGTTACAGTATTAGTTGTTGTCACAAGATTATGGAAACACCGATAGTACTAAGATGACTTTAGTGCTTATTTGTGACCAAGATTCAGTTTTTAGAGCACACTGAAGCGTCATAATATATCATCGAGTATGGACACTTAAGCAGGACTTCACATAGTCGCAAAAAATATGTAAAATTATGAAGTAGCTATTATTATGTTTAAATGAACTTTATATCTTGTCCAAGTCACAGACCTCTTATGAAGACAAACTAACACACCGAAACCAAGGTCAATACCAAAGTCATCCTTTGCCGCGCAACACTACAAACTACACTATCATACATTCAATTTCCCTTTTGAGAGCTAGTATAAACTAATTGATTTCTTCGCTCTGTACCCTCGTTCTTTCGGCATGGGTCAAATGTATTTTTTAAGGATATTCAGACTGACTTCTTTGCTCTCTCTTTGTATAGATTAGGTAGTTTTTGGTGTCTAACTATAGGTACTTCGGCCTTTCAGCAGCTTTAATAGTAGTCAGTTAGCAGTTTGAGTGTATTTACATATCCAGTGGTTTGGGTAAATACATTTTTCTTGGGCGAGAATAATTTCAAAATACTGTAGTGCTATACTTTCACGACGATGACACAATTTCTGAAATGGAAACATTTACTATTGTACTTAATTCTGACAGTACTTGTTACATTGTACTCCTTTTGTTTAACTGTACAAAAGACTATCTCTCGCGCGCCAAGCGTGTCAATCCTATCCCGTTTCTCCCCTCGGTAGTTGTTAGCCGCTTTTTTAATCTGGTCTTGATATTATTTCAATATCACGAGGCCAGCTATAAATATATTTCATCCAGAACAGTCTTCTTTCTGACTTCTGGATTTATCGGGATTTACCTTTGTGATCCTGCAAAGGTGTATACTTTTATCAACTCACTATAATACCATCACCTGTCACACTACCAGGCTGGAGATAGGTTGGCTTCATTGCTGAAAATTGTAAAGAGCGAATCTTAATACAAAACTAAATAAGTAATATCAGTTAATTATTGTTAAAGGACAGAAGTGCTATGTTAAAATGGGAAAAAGCGATTAATAGTGTAATAATATGAGACAGTGATAGTGGAGATAAAAAGCAAGTTTTGAGACGGGCATCAGACACAACTAGCACAACAGAGAGGTGATTATCTGTATGTGAGTACGTAATTGTCAAGTCTCTTTTTGGAGCTATCCATGGAGCTGGCTATGGTCACCTCGGATTGAGTAGCATTATAAATTTAGACAACTGATCAGAAAAACTGCGCACTTAGTTGTTTTCTCTTCGATGTGAGATTTTTTGAGAGGTTACTGTAGAATAATTTTCGGAAGGCTTTGTTTGGGAAAATCCCTCCATGTATACATTTGTAATATGTACTTATGGATTCTTTCTGTTCTACATTTCGGTCATCTGTTTAATCCCATCTTGGGATGCTAACATTTGTATTTTGTAATAGTTTCTATTTTTTACCCTTTTTGAGTTTTTATGTTTCTTCCCGAACTGTAACATGATGTTTAAGTTTATAACTAATTATGGCGACAGCCATATCGAATTTGGGTTCTCCGGCGGCTGATACGTCTATCTGGACTAGAAGGGTGCAATTTGTATCAGAATTTGGAGCCCCTTCCAAAATTGGAAACACTTTGTGTTATTACAGAAGGAATAAGGTGTAATATTGTTTAGAAACGTTACTTACCCAGATAAAGTGCTTTCTTTTCGGATTAATTGGGCAAGGCGCGTATCTAAACTTCCTGAACCGTAAAACTTTGTTTAACTTTTACAGTTGCTTCGAGGTGCATAACGGTGATATGCCTGTTAAATGCTCATGTTCAGGTGATTCGGTGCACTTTGTGTTGTATTCCATTACAAGATCACCTCTTATTCCCCTATAACTCAGAGGGAATAATCTCTTATGGTGACGACCGTCTTCGTAAAAATTTATTCTTAATATCTATCGCGCGTCCAGTTGCTTGTCTGTGCACTCGGTCCGAGTAATAAATGTCTTTTCCAACGAGAGATCTGAAAGCATTGTAGACTTTATTGTGGTGTGTGAGTTAACTTTGAGATGAGTTTAGACCAATTCCGTACGAAGTCTTTCCCGCATTAGGTGAACAGTTCCGATGGCCTTCAGTGGCCCCCAAATGCGGCTTGATCTGGTGCCCATGCTCTTTTAGAGCGGACATCCATGGAGAATATGAGTTTTTTGTGTCACATGACATGAAATCTCGACTGGTTTCGTTTCAAACTGTAGTTTTAATGTCCTTTTGAAGCCGAAATGAATAGTTTTAGCCTCTGTAAAGATTATTTCCGTTTAGCAAATTTTATCTAACAAGCCATCAGTGAATATCAGGAAGACGAGCTGACCTAAAATGGTTTCCTGTGAAACTCCTGATACTGAAACTCACCAGCGTGTATACAGTCTATTTACTTTGGAACGAAACCTCCTGTTACGTAGGTAGTTTCGGAGCCATTAAAGAAGTGGGTCATTAAATCTCGTCCTCGCGATCCCCAATATTAAACAGGAGTGAGGTATTGAGCTGAAATTCTTTATAATGTGACGTCCAAGTTTTACTCCTTCCCAGTATGTCGATCTATTTGCAATTCACGAACCCAAATTAACAACAGAACCAAACTCAAAGGTTAGGTACCAAAGTTTATTCGCAATTCACAAATAGTCGACCAAAATGTCGTTCTTCAATTTTATAGGTTCCTGGCGCGAAAACTAGCAAGCTTATGAGACCAACCTCAGCATCAGTAAGTAGTTGCTTCATCATCTGAAAACAGCCCGAAGCAGATAAAATTTTCTGTACTACTGACATTTGTGGATTAAGGTCATCACCGTCGCCAATAATATTTGTGGTTAAGTAACTACAAGCCCTCTCCTTTGAGTCGTTAGTCTTATTTAAAATGACTGAAGGATTATAGTTTATATTCTACAGTATACTCTGCGCTTCACAACCTGTTGGGAAGCACTGTTTGCAAGTTTCTAAACTCTCAGCGGTGGCGAGAGTTACATAAGTTGTTGAAAAGTGTGAGCGTTCGTTCTTATAGAGTAGACATAGTTCCTCGTTACCCTATTCATGGCTGCAAAAGCTCTCATCTCCCAAAAGCATTTCCGAACTCTAGCTAATACCCAAGTAGTAAAGCAATTTAGTTCTAATTTATGGTAATGCTGCAAAGGCAAGAGAATAGTTGTATGCCTTGGTGTTAACCTGATCAGATGTTCACTAAAATCAGATAGAGGTCTGTTGTCACTCTGATCATAGACTCCTTTTTAACATAAATGCCCAGGTCAGGTTTTGATAGTACCTCTGATCAGGAAGTGAAACCAATCCAAGGTTACAAGCATGAGTCACAAACGTAGTTGACATTCGAAGGTAAGAATGATATTATTGATTAGTTACATCTTGCTATATCTCAATCAGCCGTAAGCAAAAAAAACGTTCTACCCCACAGACATGGGTGCGTTGATGTAATGGCGCCTGGACAAATTCTGTTACAATATGAATGGTGCAATTACGTTGAAAGAAAGTTCACTCTATATTTCTTAAGCAACGGTGATTTGAAAAGCATACAATAAATAAGACGTCAAAAGTGTTAAATTATATAATTTACTCTTGCAGTCCGCTTTTAACTCGAATAGTGTAGGTTTATACGCATCCCGCCCAGTCCAAGTCCAAAAACGATAATTCTGGGAGAGAACGATTCAAAACAATATTACACATTCGAGTTTCCAATTACCACAATAGGTTACGTTGCTGGAAGAATAAGTGCTTCCAGTCCGTTACTGCTAGAGTATCAAATCCAAATATGGCTGTAACCATATTAAGTATCAAATTTAAACAACATATGTACAGT